ATTTAATTTAAAATATGGTAGTACTAATAAGAGCCCCCACGGGTTAGTGTTAAATAAATATTCAGTTGGAACGCTGTTTTTTTTTAATTTCTATTTAAGTTCCCATTATTTTAATTTACCAATTCAAGCACTGCTCATAAGAAAATTAGTGCTAGAATTTACGTACCTTCGTTTGTCTAAATGAGACAAATCGTTTAATGCATGTGAAAATAACATCATTAAAAACAGATGAAGCCATTTTAGCATTGTATTGAGCATACGTCAATGACCCATTGATGAATTGAAAAACAACTGAAAGGTTAAATAATTAAAGTCACGATATTCGGAATGTAGTACTGTTTCAGGCTAAGTAAATATTGAAGATGGATCATAGATATGGACGAATTAATAGAAGTAGAAAAAACTATAGATAAATTGGTTTAAAGTAAACTATGAAAATTGTAAAAAAATTATTAATTGTCATAATTTATTTAATTTTACTTAATATTTATTTAAATTGATTTATAGTTTGAGGACGATATTGTCTGTGCTTTTGTTTATGTAAACATATATGTAGTAATTTAAAACATTAACTATGATAAATAATTCTATCAAGTTATGAATTTAGATAATATTTTTCAGTTTTAACTTCAATATCGTATTATTTATTTGTTTAATTATTGCGTAGCTAGAAATCTGTGTACAGAATATTCAAATATTTTCTTCGCTATTTGAAAAATCATTAAAATACGCCATATGCCCACATGCAGGTCTCTGCTGTAAAATATCGGTATAATATTCAGTCACGTATTTATATTAAACCACTATCATGAATAATTCCGCAGCACAAACAATTTTCTTATCCCACATACGATTATAATGCATGTATAGGAATTATAGATATAGTGTGTAGATTAGAGAGTAATAGGTAAACGCTCCGTTGTTAATTGTTATCATAAATCGTTCGTCAATTGTAAAATAAAACTGTTTACGAAGACTTTTTTTGTGTACAGAAAAAAATAGTTTGTTCAACTATACCATATCCACGTGTGAGATTATTAATTATTATTAATAATTGAATACATATAAAAAAGATAAATGCACAGCTTTATTTGAGTACTATTTATTATTTTGTAATAATCTATATATGTACGAAAAACGATGCAATTCGAAGCCCGAACGTGGACCAATTATGTAGGATAGGTACCTACCTACCGCAGACTGCAGCACAATGTCAGACGACGACGGACAATGAGTAATGATATATTATAATGTTTTGACGTTTATTAAACAGACGGCGACAGCTATTTTGTTATAAATTGTATTAGTATATCATCAGATATTGAAGTATAATATGTGTGCTGACGCAATCGGATTAGCGTCGATTGTGATTTTTGGATGCGGTGTGGCGCATGTAGCTTGGTGACTTAAAGTATGTCGTCTGACGTTATGAATGCTATGTATGCTCTCGACGAACATAAGAATGACGTAGAATGTATGGACACATCATATTATGTGCGTGATCATCTGTATTGGCGTAGATATAAAAAAATAACGCGAGACCACAACATTAATTATCCTAAGCGGGGCCCTAGACAAAAATGGCCCTTGTTCAACTTGACTAAAGAATCGGGTTTACACGATGGTGGTAAAACGCGATAGTTGCACTGTGCGAGTACAATAAGTGAGTACAATAAACCGGGATATAGTTGCTGTCACAATGTCGTATTACACTCGTGTTAAATACCTATATACGTTTTATTGTCGGTTAAATACGTGTATTTATGTATATACATATATAGGTAGTTGTCTTTTAAGTTGGTAAATCCATAAATAATTAATGCATAACTGCATAAACATGAGTGTAACTATAAATAATAGAATACATTTACAGGCTGGAGAATCAACTAAAATGATTTTTTTTTACACTATATTAACTATATACTATTTTATTTTTATTTTTTTTTTGAGCATTGTAAATATTTAGAAACTTCTATTTTTATGTACATTTTCGAATTTTTTCAACTGATTACCCTCCTCCCTTTTAACACTAATTTATGTGTATGTAGTAGCATTGTATGAAAAAACCGGCATCATCACGGTAAAACAGTGTAAATACCTACTAAGTAATTATAATATTAAATTATTACAGTTACCTATACTAATTAATGTACTCGACGATTGCCACCATCATAATATTACATATATAATTACATGTTGGACTTTGATAATATAATTATTATAAAACCACATATTATCATTTTAATGATAATGAATAATGATTAATTATGCTTGCATTTATACATAATTACATCACATATGCTGAGGGCAAAGGGACAGCTGAGAAAAAAGCTCTCAAGGACTTAAATATTATATGATAAACTTGATCGCACGTGTTCGATATAATAAGCTGACATTACAGAAAACAAGGGAAGTAAAATAAGTGAACAAATAAAAGCATGGGAGTCTCTTAGAATATTAATGATAACCGATGAGAATAACACGATTAAGTATATACATATTGCACATGCACCACAGTCCACAGATGGCACAGATATGTGTATTTTATCACAAATGGATTCGAAACGGGAGCACCATACAAGAGATTATATCCCTCCTTTCGGTTTGTGTAATTGTCCATTACTAATCGTCTAAATCCCCATCATATATTTTTTGAAGACATCTTAAATAATATTTAAGTTTAGGATACAACCTGTAGAATCTATCTCCGCTTATCTAACATCTTAACTGTTAGTATAACAAAACGCTACTATCCAAAATCAAAATTATGGAATTTAAGATATTATTATAACATACCGAAAAGTATTAGTATCAGTTATTACCCAATTTGAACAGGAAATATTTTTATAGAAAATGTCATACTGTAAAATATTGTCGACGAAAAAGTTACAATAATAGTACATTATAGTACCTTTAGTACAGTAAACGTAAAACGCTTCCTTCGTTAGATGATATTTTATAAAACGAATATTAGCCATCATTAATCTTTATTCTAACTGTGTCGTCCACAGATTACCGCACTATAAAAAAAAAAAAATGAAGTAATTTCAAACCAAGTCCACATGTGATGATTAAATGTATCATAATTTATCGCTTCACAGAATTTTCTCCGGGAAACCACTTCCTACTCATACATTGTATATGTTTGCAGAAGAAAATATCTAACACTCGGTGTGTGACGCAATTGGACAAACCACTCCGATGTAACCGGTTTCGGTAGTCATTCTAGAATTGCTTAATGAGCAAAATAATTAATTAAAAATATTACGTTCTTTCTTTTTGCTAAGTTCGCGTATTTAACAATAATTATTCTATCTATTAGTAATTATTATATACTATACCTACATCGTACGCATACGTCAATGATGTATGTAAGGTATTTATTTTAATATTAAACACTCTTTATCTTGAAAGACGTTTTACCAAATATATTTTTTTTATATAATTTAAAATATAATATCTATAAAATATTATTTTCAAGTAAATATGTGATATTTTTCAATACTTTTTATTATTCGGGCGAAATGTGGTAATTTTATTCACATTCGTCCTGATTGATAAAAAAATAAAACCATCCCACTGATAACTGTTGTATCATTTTTTAACAATAGAACTCATTTCTAATTTTATAATACGAACTAAAATATGTTTCTGAGAGTTAAGTTAAATAGAACATGTTGTGAGTAGCCTCCATGCTATAACATTCAATCCACTCGATCATCTAAACGTTAAATACTTTTATAGCTATTCATAAAAAAAATAAATAATAAAAAAAAAACAGTTATCATTATTTTTAAAAATGATATTTTGTAACGACATAAAAATAATCAATACTTTTTGGGATATTTAATAATTGCCTATTGTTAAAATAATATTTAGGTGTAGTATGAGATTTGCGGGTCATAGGTTATGTATAATATAATATAATATTCATATTATTACAACACAAACACAATGAATATTATGAACAAAAAAAAAAATAAACTGTTTTTAATGAGATTATAACCATATCATATAATATTATATTATTAACTGATGTAGGTACCTATGATGGGCTCGTGTCCGCGTTTTGGGATCTTATGCAAATGGGGATTATTATATGTATACCTACCTATAACATACTTTTTACTTACCCACAATATAGGGTTGTTACATTACTTGAATCAACATTCGTTTATTGTAAACAACATTTATGGGAAAATCTTCACGGTCAACCACAAATTTAAAGTGCTATTTTTTCGATATCACACACACAAACATTCATAATGCTAAAAATTACATACGTGTTACAAATCGGAATGAGGAACCATCAGAGTTATCAATTAGCGACGAACATTTTCGCGAAAGAACGAGAAATCAATAATCGTCAGAAATTCTATTGCAGACGTTACTAAGCTGGAAAATTATTTTTCAATAGTTTTCATAATTATTGTTGTATCATTCGGCATAACGATATTGTTTTTCCACTAAAAATTGTCGAGCAAAAGAGACATAATATTGACAGAAAACTATTGTACTCAAATCCCGGGACAAATATACTGTATTTCTCGTACCGAGAAACGCTTTAACGGGGTAATTTATTCAACACCATAAGGCAAAACCCTGCGGCACAGCGCAGTACAATAATAAATTTATTAAATTGTAATGAATTTCTAAAAACAACAATAACAATATGCCCAATATGGTGTATATTGTTATTGTTAATCAAGTTTACGACGACCCCACGGCGGCGGTGACAACATTATTATTATTATTTTTTTTTTTTTCATCGTAATAATAATATCACGTCAATGCCGCGGCGCGTTGCAGTCGTGTAAATCATAATAAAATATTATAATATTATTATTACTATTATTATTATTTAGCGTGTAATAAATAAATTACGGTGCGGCATAAGTCCGAGTCACTTCGTCTGCCGTCGCCACTGCCTCCCCCCGCCCTCACCGCCGCCCATCCGGCGCGACCACCGAGACTCTGTCCGCGTTCGTTCGTTCGGACTGTTCGGAGAGCATTCGAAGTTTTACGCCCGGCGCATCAACATGTCGTCTTCGCCGTCCGTCTCGCCGTCAGCGACGCGCGCGTGTACCTCCGCCGCCGTTCTGATGTCGCTGCTGCTGGCGCTGGCCGTCAACCGGGCCGGTGCCGCGGCCGTCGACACCACCACCGCGGCCACAGTCACCGTGGCCGAATTGGCCGCGTCCACTGCGGGCAACACCCACGATATCGCCGACCTCACGGACACCACCGACCTCACGGACACCGCCGACAACGTTCTGCAGCCGGCCAGTTACGGTTCGGCTCCCCCGAAGCCGTCTCAGCCGTCTCCGGTTCGTATCCAACTCGATTGCAAAATTTTTCGTCACGTATTATTTTTATTTTTTTTGTTTTTGTTTTTGAATCTAAAACGTTACAACGTTCTGGGCCTGGGTTGTGTTTGATTTTTTTTAAATTTCTAACAAACACGTTGATATATAGCTCCCCTCCCGTTTCCCGAATTCACATGATAGTTTTTCGGATGACAGAGATCCGCGATGAATACACTGTCGATGATTCGAGTATATTTCGCGATTATGAAGCCGAATTATTGTAATGATCCCACGAGCTACAATACTATGTCTGATCAAAAATCGGCGTTTTCCCGTTTTACCGATGCTCAATGCATTACCTTTCAATGGTTGTAATTTAAACAATTCAATTATAATATGATAAAATATATTATGTCCATGACGTAATAATGTACGTCGAGATCTTAAAAATCACTAGAGCCTATATTTGCGTTTTTATTTATAAGTTAGTACGGAAACGAAAAAGGTTCAAGGAAATGTACGATAAGCTTTTTTTTAATCGATTGTTGAAACTAATACATAATTTGTATCTAATGATTATTTATCTATGTAAAATACATTATATACTAACGAGATATCGTTCAAGCCGTTCAAGGTATTGGTTTATAAAATTACCATGTGTATTTAACTGTAATCTATATGTCTATATTTGTATTGTACATTTGTACGTAAATGTACCTATTCGCTATTGTGATATAATATTATTGTTGTCTTATTAGTTTGCAATCATACGCAAGTACAAAAATGATATAAGGAACCAATATGAAATTATTATTACTAGGTAGAATATTCATTTTGTTCAGTTTCTGTTACTGTGCAAACATTACCTATACAAACTGGTCGATAACGACTATGATTACAGCGTTTCGTGATTGTATTAAAATAATAAATGTTAGACGTTGGTAATGGTACAATGAATAAATAATATAAAAATAAAATTTAAATGAGTAAATATTTTCCAATTTATGCTGTTATATATTTTCAACACGAACATTGGTTAATAATACGACTGGCTATAGGTATTTAATACTGTATACTAATCCAATATTTATTTAAATTAAAGCTAATGTTATTTCATCGGAATTATTATCGGTAGACATTGATTCGTAAAAGTGAATAATTATCAAAACACTAAAATATAATGGGCACAAATCTTAATGCTTAATGAATTCTCAGTATGAATTAATGAGAATCCCGCATTACTCACATATATTTTATGTATATTTTTTGAAACAATATTGATATTCAGATATTCATTTATATTATAAATTAAAAAACACTTATAATATTTTTTTATTTTGCAATTCTGCTGAAATACTGTTATTTGACCGCCAAAGGTGGTAGCAAAATTTGTAGATATATAAATATTTTCGTATAATCACTTACGTAACCTTTGGGATTAACACAACCATCATTTAATTAGATTCTAATCGTGAATAACATGTCTTCCTTGTAGACAAAATTTATTGATTGTCAAACTCAAATGGTTCGACTGATTATAATAAATTATGCGTATTTTAATTTTAATTTTACTTTTTTTTTTTATTTCGAAATAGAAGGACTACGAGCAAATTTTTTTAACAAGGTGATCATAATTTTGCATATCATAAAAGTGATGGTCATATTATATATTATTTTGTAATTCGATATTCTGATCATCCATTTATACGAATAATATGGTATATCTATATATTGTTATGTCAGTTAGGAGCAAAACATTTCAAATAATATCAATTTTTTTTAAAATTTTTTTATTAGATACCGTAAACTAAGTTAAACTTGTATAATATATTTAATTTTATTATATCAAGGTTTCTATCAAGTTTATGTTTATTCAGTTATAATGTACATAAGTTCTATGATAGCATTAATACTATCTACTTTACCATAATATACTTATGTGCATATTATAATTGTGAATAATTGATTTGGTTATAATTTTGATAGAGAACATCATAATGATACGAGTGAAATGAGTAATAATATAACAATATAATATAAAAGACACGTCTTTCGGAGGATAAGTATATTTGAATCTATATATTATTTCCTTTTTACATAATATTGTGGGGCTTAGATTGGTACCCATTGAGAAAAAATGTGGATTGTTCATCAATTGATGAACTTTTCAAAAAATATAAATTCCATGCCTTAAGTTAGATATTATAACATACTCATTGTAGAATTGTTCTTGTTTATGGCGGTATAAATTAAATCAAATATATTATGCCTGTGTATCGAAATAGATATTCATCACATACCTATAATCCATACCTAGTAATCATTTGTATTGTGTATGTATACAAAAAATGATTTATTTGTTTAGATTATTATCAAAACTTAAATTGTAATTCGTAAAATATTTGTAATAATTATATATTTGCCTATAAACAATTTTACAGTTATGTTCATTTTTAATCTGAATCCTACAACACATCTACTGGTGTATCCTGTTCAATTTTTGTTTTACATATAACACATTTAACTTTCAACGTTCAACTGATACAGTTATTAGCAGGATAAAATTGTCTATTATTTATGTTTTATATTTTACAATTAGGTAACGCTTATTTAATCCAACACGAGTAATGTTACTATTGCAGAGTATATTTTAAAATAAATTTAAATTTGTTTTACCGTTGATAAAATTTCCATTGATAAAATAAAATAGAACATAAAAATTAATATTAAGGATTTGGTCAGTTAAATTACGGTTTTGGAGCTGTTGTTGTAAATTACTTTTTACGTAGATATAGTTAAAAATTCACATTTTAAATAAAGTTATTATTTTAATTGTAGACTATAATGAACATTTTTAAAATATTTTCATTATTTATATTATTGAATGACTTCAATGTTAAAGTGATGGTATTTTTTGTTGTTATTAAAAAACCGATAAATTAATTTTATCAAATAATATTTGAACAGGTAAATTGTCGTTAATAGATATAGATACGCTTGTTTACAAAACTATAATAAAAATTGATTCCCTATTTAGGTTTACTTATTGCTTTACGGTTTACAGCAGTCAACGGTAATTTTGTATACTTTATTAAACTTACAAAAAAAAAAAAAAAAAACATACGTAACCACCTGCATTGCTCATAAAACATATATATTTTTAAATAGTTAGCTCGTCTGCGACGCGGAAAATCTGATAAACTATACAAATATTTATTACTTACAGACATTTTTTTTTTTTTATTATTATTATTTTCGATGTCGCCTACACAATCGTTTTCGATATTTGGGATAATGGGTTTTTCGTTTCTACCGAGGTAACAATAAAATTACGACACGATATTATCTTTTTATACGTATTTAATGGACGTTAACAGCGGACGCGTCTATGGAAAACAAGAGTGCTATATACAGTATACACCCATCCGCGTGTACACGCGTAGAACAACAAATAATGTATTCGCTTGCCGGCCACACATAAATTACACATCTAATAACAATAACAATAACAACAACAACAATAATAATAATAATAATAATAATAATAATAAATTATGACGTTCGGAGGAATTTCCATCGCGCGCACGCCGTCGTCGTCGTTATTGTGCACTTTTTGTCGGTGTATAGTGTTTTAACGTGCGCCGCCGTTCATATGGCTATAATATTGTTATACATAATAATATATGCGCACGTAAAACGCGTTATATACGAATTCATAATGTTATTACATATTATTAAGGAGTGTGGCGTGCACTTCGTCCGAATTCAGCTGACGTTAATCGAGGGCCCCGACGACGCACGGACGCATTAAGTGCATATTATTATATACGTATAATAATATTGTTATATTGTCGTCGCCGCCGCCGCCGCCGCCGTTGTTGTTGTTTTTTTTTTTTTTTATTGATATTAAGTACAAGATAAATGAAAATGGTCAACCAGAAAACTCTCCGATCATTAGACAGAATGTTTAATAGTGTATACCCATTCAATATTAATAATATTATGATCACAACAGTAAAGCGCCACGGATAAGTCTCGGTCGAAGCTGCACACTATAATATTATACTCGGAGCGATTTGCCCGGATAACTGTGCTTATTACTGTTTACCCCGTTTTATACGCCGACCATGGGTTTTATCCAGATTTTATTTCGAGAGTTCTTAGACGCTTTATGACCGTGTAATGGAAATCGATTCGATAAATAATTTAAGTCTTGTGACGATACACATTTTTTTTTCAAATGAAGATCATCTTTTTTTTTTTTTTTTTTAATGCAAATCGATAATTAGATGATTTTTTTTTTTGTACCTAAGTGTTGACGCATCCAAGTCAAAATAATTTGTACAAGTAGTTTCAGAGTTTTTAATTTCAAATAGGTACCTACTAATGTACTATAAATTATTATTTAATCCAGTGGTATTTACCTTTTGTAAATCACAGACCCCTGATCAAAGATTTTTAGAAATTGTAGACTCCTTATCAATTTTTTTCGAATAGTTAGCTTTTTTTTTTACAAAAGATCTCATCTTAATATAACCAAAATTTATTATAATAATTATTTTATATTAAAAATTGCATAAGTGGACATAATAAAACATGCAAATTTATATTTATTTTACACTTAATTTTTCCTAAAAAAGTAATATAAATTAATATATTTTTAATATTCTTAAAATTTAATTTTTATTAACTTAATGCGATGGTCGGTGTTGCATTTGAGTGGTAAGTAGTAAATAAATGACTGCCGACTAAAGTACTGTACGCTTGTACATTGTGTATGAATAAAAAAAAAAAACTGATAAACAAATATTAATAATAAAATTATTGGATATTACACATAGTATCAAACACTGTAGATACTTAATTGTATCGAATTCCATAAAATATGAAAAAAAAAAATAAGAATCTAATAATATTGTAATAATGCACTCATGTCATATATTGGTATTGATGTATGATATGTGTTGCCGCGGACCCCCGACACGATTATCATGGGCAGTGAATCACAGATTAAGAATCATCGATTTAATCTATATTTCATTCTATATTATACTTGATAATAGGATTAATATAATAAATAGAGGCTTGATGTTTTTAAAATTATAGTCCTATTGGTATAACGTAGTTAATTGACATTTTATAATTTGTAAAAATAATTATGTTATTAAAAATGATATCTATTTTATATTTTATGTAAAACTATTACTAACTATTATTCTTAGCACTTAAATTTTATAACTTAGGATTACATGTTCAAATTTCGTTTGATATACATCAACATTTTTAAAAGACCTCTGCTTAATTTCTGTAACAAAGGAAAGTTATTATTTGAAAAATGAGTTTGCCGCTAAAAATGGTAAAAAAATCACAGTTTAAATAAATGTACTACTAAATGATAAAAGGGTATTGACCATTCTTGGTAAATCATCTTGTATATACACGTATATAATATCTACTATAAGAGTATATACTCATTTAAAATATATAATGTAATTATAGTTTTTATTTTCCACAGTTGGTGAATGCATATTGTTTCCCATTTTTTAAAAACGAGATTAATAACTATTGTTATAATGTGTATATAATAGTAATGATATATTAGTTCAGACATTTTTCTACACGTTATTGACTCAGTGTCAGTAATCAGTATATAGAAACTAATATAATATTTGATTAAAAATTGTAAAAAGTGACATTGCTAATAATATATATATATATATATATATATACATGTGTCAAGAAAATTTACAACTTATACAATATTTATCTTTGTGTAATATATTATGATGGTACACTCAATACAATTCTTTAGACATTCGAAAGTGTAGCTATTCGTAATTGCAAATGAATTTGCGGACTGTAATCATAGATCCTTGTGATGCAATGTATAAAGTACAAGCTGCTGACTATAATCTTATTGTGATAAGGAATTGGTGAGTAGTAGTCTAAACAGGACAACGCGATTTATTATGCATTATTTATCCATAGCTGACTATAGTAAACTGACACAAGAGTAAATAAAAACTCGCAACTCATTCCTTCACCCTTCTTGAATACTCAAGTCATTGTTTATACTATGTTTACATGGTATAAATGGGTAAAATAATTAGTGAAACGGTTACTACTTATGTTGTACAACCATTGCAATTTTTTTTATTTATTCATTAAAATCATTAAAATCAAATTAGCTAATGCCTAATCCATTGGGTTATTATTATAGCGGTTATAAATTATATAAAACAAAAACGGAAGCCAATTGCAAGCCGTAAAAATAAAATCGAATTTTTTTTTATTTCTATGATTTTTTTTGCTAGTATATTCAAGATTCGGTATAAATATAAATTTTCTATTTTATTTACAAGTTGATTAATACATGACAGTTATTACATTAAAAAGTACCATTGTTTTTGAAAATAATTTTGTGTCGTTAAAAAATAACTGTTTTCTAAAAATATGTATTTCTTTTCGTTTATAAAAAAAGAATATAAATAAAATCTATTTGTAATTACTTATACCGAAACAGAATGTTTTTTAGAGTCCTAAAATTGAATTATTGACAAATGGTTTATGAAATATAATAAATAAATTCTTTATTCTTAATTTTTGATTTTAAACAAGGGTGTTAAAAATGTTATTTTCTACGTAGGTATGAATGATTTATTTCTTAAGTATTTATTGTTAATTAGAGTCATCTTAGAAAATCACATTCTAGCAGAACAATTAGCAATGGGACATTAGGATGCATAAATGCTATTTAATAATATAATATGGCAATTAATAATAATAACGCTTTAATTGAGGTGATTATACAATGAGAGCTTTAAGAGGTAAACAATTTAAAAACGCGTAATATATCTATATTGGTAGATATATGGCGTTGAAATTACATTTTTTGTTGAAAAAATTTTAAAATTTCTATTAAAAAATAATATAAAAACATACTGAAAATGAAAATGATCATATTGAACAAGGGTCAACGAATATTTGATGGAAAATATCAGAAATAGTGAAAATGTATCTCTTTGATCCTCTTTGAATCCGAGTATGTATTGATATATATATATGTTTATAACGTTTATGCTATAGACTATAGATTAGCCATATGATAATCACAGATGATAATTTTTCTTTTGACAATGTCATTAAAATATGAAAAATTATTAACAAAACGATATTTAGTATATGGTACTCGGTAGTGTAGGTCGTAATAAATATGTGCGTTCATAATGACGTGCGTTATAGTAATAATAGTAATAATAATAATAATAATAATAATAATAATAATAATAATGCTGATTATTTCAAGTTGCAACACGTATGCAGAACAATCCTTGTAGATTTAGATCAATAATTTATTATCATTATATCTATAATATATATTTATATATATTAATATATATTGTATGGTGTTATATAATTGTAATAAAGAGTATTGATTAAACGCTTTGCTGATGTAAATTTTTTTTTTCATAACAATAATTCAGAATTCATATACACGTAATATAGCTATAATTTATATTTTATATATTATTTGAACATTTAGTTGTTATCGTCCTTGTGTCCTAACCTAACCTAAACTGCTCCATCCGAATGAAAACAATCAAATTCATAATTTATCAAATTACGTTTTATTGAAATTTCCGTCTAAACATGGTACACCCACTTTGATCGTGGTTTGTGTTGATAATCTACCTCTGTAAAATAGTTTCCGAAAAAAACAAATGTCATCATTAAAATTTCATGAAAAGAATTTGTAATGTAGGTATATAATTAACTTTAAACGGAGTATGCGCGTGACCAGCTATATTATCTGAACATTAATAATACATAAAATTGTGTTTCTATTGGTTCTTATTATTTATTTTTAAAGTCCGAGTCAACTATTGATTTTATTTTCTGTCGCACATTACTGCATTGTTCTATCGCGTATAGGTACTTATCGATAATTATATATTATTATTACTTTTAATTAAAAAAGTAATATTTATTTATACCAAGTAGAATTTATACCTACTAAAAAATTAGGTTGGTATAAGTAATTATAGCCATAACTAATTAATTATTCGTTCAGAATTTATATTTTATGATTTGAAATTCTCTAAAAAATACTCTATTAATATTAAATTGAAACAGCTAAAAAAATATAAAAAAAAATTACTTTTTTTTTCAATTTAATTAGTAATAAATTTAAAAGTGTAAGAATGTCATACATAAATAGACTATGATAAATATGCATAAAAGCTTATATAGTTTTCGAAATGATGAGTGTTTTATGTTAAAAGAACCCACTGTATAATAATATAAAATAAAATGTTTCTTAATTATTTTGTTATTAAATGTATAGCTTTTATTTGAATTACTTTTATCTTTGATGGCATACCTTTAAGAAACGAATTTATCATATAAACCAATAGTATTCATGCTTGTATTTGTTTAAGCTAAATATAACGAATGAAATGATCATTTTAGGTTGTGGCTAAAAATGAAGACATTTACAGTTTCGTTGTTCATTCGAAAATCAAGTACAGATATGCTCAGACTGTTGTATCGAGTCGCGTGGCCAACAAGGGAAATACTTCCCATGAAGTACAGTTCTACGTAACTCTCCCAGAATCTGCATTCGTTTCTAAGTTTTTAATGTAAGTAATTTAAACTAATATATTTTTGGGATCATGAAATCCAATTAATAGGGCTTGTTGTAATTTTAAGGGAAATAAACGAAAAAGTGTATGAAGCTTATGTAAAAGAAAAAAAAGAGGCTAAAGAAGAATATATTACTGCTGTTAATTTGGGTCAGACAGCGGCTCATGTTGAACAAAAGTAATTACAGTATAGTTATCTTAAATTTAAAATAATTTCTTATCTTTAATGTTGACGAATTGTTTTCTGTAGTGCAAGAGATTCAAATAAATTTACGGTTTCCGTTAATGTGGAAGCAGAAAGTAAAGTAACATTTAATCTCACCTACGAACAATTGTTAAACAGGAAATTGGGAATTTATGAAAATGTAATTAACTTACAGCCCGGACAAGTAAGTACAAAATTTTAAATATACAATTATACAATCAAGTATGCATTTATAACTGTTGAAATTATAACATTGGCTTATAATTATTATTGTTGTTATAGGTTGTTAAAAACTTGCAAGTTATTGTAGATATCGAGGAATCTTCAAACATTACAACATTGGAAGTACCAGACATAAAAACAGCAAATGAAATTGAAACTACAGTTAGTAGTAAGTATATACTTACATAATTATCAAGTAGTTTGATATATATATATATTTTTTAATCGAACGCGCAGTTAAAACCATTGTCTATCTAGTATTAAGTATAGGTAATAACTAATAACATTATAAATTAGTTCAGTAGAGTAATATAGTTGATGAAATAAATGAGATAAATGAAATAGGTATGTATTTATTTTTATCCATTATTAGTCATAATATAATATAAACATTGCTTTACAATGAGCCATAATATGATTTAGTATTTAAAATATTGTATGGTTAATTACGATAATTTTAGTCATTGTACCTATTTTATAATACTTTATATTCTCCTCACGAGTATTACATTTGAACTATGCTTCTAATTATAAATAAATATATTTCAGAAAACAAATTGGCAAAAATTTCTCGTGAATCAGGCAATAAAGCGACGATAACGTGGAGTCCAACTGTTAAAGAACAGCTAACATTTACGGAACATGGTGTTAAAGGCCAATTTATAGTTCAGTATGACGTTGATCATAATTCCACGCCAAACCAAGTTCTTGTATGTTCTTTATAAATATAATATAATACATTCCTCATAGCAAAGAAAGTACATTAATATATAATATATAGTATTTTTTTTTGAATTAAAGTAATTTTTCTTATTTCATTGAAATTAAATTAAAGTAATGGCTAAATAGTTAAATAATCATTAGAAATGATTAATTATTCATTTTTTGGTACATTAAAAAAAAAAAAAATAATAATAATAATAAATTATTCAATAAATGAATTAGGTATATAATGTATATTGTATACACAATATTAGTGTTGAATAAAAATCCTTAGAAATTGGAAATTAATGAAAAAACTAAATAACTTATTTTTATATATGTGTCAATGCGATTATGTATTATTTGAAAATAACAAACGATTTTCTATCTGAAATAAAAATAATAATTATAAAACATTTGTAATTATCCGTTATATTTATGCTCTTTATTTTAATTTGATTTCAATAAAATAAATAAACAAATATTTCTTAAAAGGATTCAAAAAAATGTGTTTTACAGTATATTATACAAGTTAGCTTTTTTTTTTTATTTCACTCGGGTATATTATTTAGTTTAATGACAACAATTAAAATCATAATTATTTTTAGATCGACGATGGATATTTTGTTCATTTCTTTGCACCAACGGATTTGAAACCGCTTAGGACCCACGTCATATTTGTACTCGACGTTAGTGGTTCTATGGTTGGACAGAAATTACCACAAGTTAAAGAAGCTATGAGTCAAATTCTGTCAGAAATCCACGCTGAAGATTTTTTCACATTGATACTTTTCTCAGATTTTGCTCAGGTAAGCACGCAATTTTTTATTGGTAACTAGAAACATTGTTGTCAATGAAATTTACGCATGACAGATTTGGACAATAAATGCTACTCAACAAACGTCGAATCGTTGGGACGAAAACAATAACAACTGGAAGTCGAACAATAATTTTAGTTTGGAGGCATTGGGTGAAAATCGTTTCGTTTTTCCGGCAACCGAGCAGAACATACAATACGCCAAAAAATTCATTCAAGACTTGACATCGGAGAGCAGTAAGACTTAATATTGAGATAAATCATATTATAATATGTTATACTAAACATGAAGAAATTTGTGTTGCAACGGTTGTAATTAAAAATTATTTTCAAGGTACAAATATGGAAGATGCTCTTAGCAAAGCGCACTCTATCGCCAAATTGGGAGAAACACGTTTCAAAGATGGTGCTAACACGCCAAAACCAATTATTGTGTTTCTGACCGACGGTGAACCGACAACAGGAATTACCGAACCCCAGGAACTGATTAAATATGTTTCTAATACTAACGAAGAGAAGTGAGTTAGCTAATATTAATAATTTGTTGTCATCCGGTGTTGAAAAAATAAACCATAATGATTTATTATAATCTATAATAATATTGTTAATTTTTATGATTAGGTATCCAATATTCAGTTTAGGTTTTGGTGAAGGAGCGGATATAGATTTCCTTAAAAAGCTCTCATTGAACAACACCGGTTTCGCAAGAGTCATCTACGAAGCTTCGGACGCGTCGTTACAATTGCGTAATTTCTATAAAGAAATATCTTCTCCCATCTTATCCAACGTTACTTTCCAATACATCGATACTCAAGTAAAAATACACAACACAGTTTTTTTTTTTGCATATTTTCTATACATGATATGTTATAACTTTTACAGGTCGAAAACATTACTGTGACGAAAAAAACATTTAACTTGCTGTTCAAAGGTACAGAGTTAGTTGTGGCCGGAAAGTTGAAGGATGGCGCTTCGCCTGATTTTAATGGCACTTTAAATGCCGATTCGACTGAAGGAAATTTTGAACGTCCTGTCATTGTCACGTGTTTTGATATACCCATCATTCCCCCCAATGATACTCTTCCAAAATCAAGAAGAATAGGTAATTAATTGTATTTTTATTCCTGTCTTGTATTTGTGTCCTTAGAAAAATGTGTGAACTAAGGATGTGTATATTTTTATAAACAATTTACCCGATTTTTTGATATTCTGATTACAGGTCATTTAGAGAAATTATGGGCATACTTGAACATACAACAATTAATGGACAAATATGAATTAAACAAGAACGAAAATTCTACGGAAAAAGCTAAAGCACTCGAATTAGCATTAGAAGTATTTATAAAGCTCTTTTTTAACTGCATAGGTGGTTGGTACTTGAGTTATTATTACATTAAATGTGTTTTTTAGTATTCATTTGTCACTCCACTAACGTCCTTAGTTGTTGTCAAGCCTAATGATACAACGACATCAGCGGCTCCAGAAAAAATCAAACCACTTAACGATAGATACAACTTTGGTGTGTATAAATTAAAACAAATATATTTTGTAAAAGAAATCGATGAATTTAGCTGATTTTACATTGATATGTTTTTTTAACAGGTTCTTTAATGGCTAGCAGTCCACTTTATCAATTAGGTGCGTCTTGTACAAATATTTACTTGTAAAATATTTGGTATATTATTTCACTTATATTAAGTTTTTAAAAATATAATTTTAGGTCCATCTAGCTCAGTGATGATGGCAAATAGTATTGTTTCAAGACCATCAGGATTTTCCTCAAGTATTTCATTGAAGAGTAATAGTTGAAAAACTATTCAATATATTCAAGATCCCAAATAAATTTTAATTAGAGTAATAATAATTTGTTTCAGAAGCTAGTGTATCATATTCGGCGGTCTCTGAAGATGCAGTTCTTTCTGCATCCGAAATGGTTCCTTCGCAAACTTTAGTTGCTGTTACAGATAATATCGCACCGCCCTCGGTTGTAGATTTTAGCCAAATTAAAACAGACAAATCAAATTCTACATCGCTGCATGACATCAATGAAGTGATATGGTTGAGTGATACTGTTACATTTGGTACAAATAATATAACTTATCAAGTATCATTGAACACTGTGAGTAAACCGTACTTAAATGATTGCCGCGTTTGATAATAAAAAATTTATGTTGTGCGTTGTCTGCTTAAAATTTTTTTAGACTGGTCAATCGTATCAAAACTGTACAACACCCGACCAAAGTCATGGTAATTGTAAACATTTAAAAGACTGCGTTGTGGATTCAATTCTGAGTTCATTTGATACATACCTTACATTGTTTTGTCCAATAGAAACATTGTAAGTATAATTTTATTCTTGTGATATAGTATTTTTAAATATTTTGTACCATCAAAATTAGAGTAAATATATATAATACATTATTATGGATATCTGAAATTTGTTAGTTTATTAAGCCATATAAATTATAATCTATAACTACATTTATTATTTAAATCAATTAATTAATTAAATTTTGTTTTTTTTTTCTTGTTTTTAAAAATATTATTTACATAAAATTGAAAATAAATGTTGATTACAGTACAAGAAAAACGTTCTGCAAAGGCGTATAAGTCTTATGAATTGATAAGTTGATATTGAATTTTTTTATTTTTCGGAATATTTATATGCGTACCGCGTAGGTATATAAGTATAAATGAATATCAAATTATATTATGAACTTATCATTAATATTTTTGAGTTGTCAATTGTCATTTAAAAGTTATTTGCAATATTGATATTCAATTGTTTATAAATTGTAATTTATTCGTTGCATCATAATTAAGGAAATTAAAAATATTTTAAAACATAATTAGTTTTGTGTAATTAGCTTTATTACTGTGATAAATCATTGTATATTATAATTCTATATATTACATATTATAGATACCTACTAAATTCTCAACGATTAATTAAAAACTATAAATATTATTTATTTTTTCTTACAGGTATGCAGGAATTTGCTGTTTAGTGTAAAATGTAAATGTGTGAATGTTCATACATTTCTAGAAAGCATAGATTTATTAATATTTTTTAAAGTGTTTAAGTTATTTATTATTATTGATTATTGATTTATATTTTATATACCTTTGTATTATCAATTAAACATAATTATTTATCCAAATAATTTTTTACTTTTTTTCCAATACCGGAAACTATCCTATACTAACCTAATGATTTCACAATTTTTAGGTTATTTTCCTACAACTTTTTGGTAAGTAGGTATCATTATTTCTTCTGTATTATTTTTGTTTTTATATTCATAATCATAGTCAGTTGTTTAAAAATAATAACTTATTAAATTATAATATTAAAATATCTTTAAGAAATAAACTTGTGTGTGGAATATTTCATTGCTATAAATAGATTTTATATTATGTTATTTAAAAAAGAAATTCTTAAAAAGACGAATATGACTCGCAATAACTGGTCATTAATAGTTTAATTAGAAGTTATTAATAGTTGAGTACATGAAAAATGTTATTTGTGTATATTTGGAGTTATTTTATCCCATTTAGAGTGTATCGCTGTTCTAAAATAGTAATATTTTATAATATTGGTTTATAAATAGCTATCAGGGGGTCTTATTTGATCAAAGAGTTTCAATTCTTCAGAGCATAATAAAAATGAACAGAATTTAAATATCCAAATTTTTTAATTCGTTCATAAAATTAAAAAAACAACAAAGGAGAGGGATACACATCCTGTGCAACGTCAGGAATCACATTAAATATTACTGATAGTCATTGACCAATTTTTACTTGTTGAGAGTAAGATCAGTGAAGTAAGAAGGTAATTATTTTCACATATAATCATTGTTTTCGATTGATTTTAATTTGTAAATTAGATCTGTAATATTGACGGTATCAGTTTTTATTTCTTTATAAGCTACAATAGTCATAAAGTATTGATTATTTTCAAAAGCCACATAAATTAAACAATAGTATAATGTAATGAAATTGTTATTAGTCAATTTTGATTAGTGAAAGTCATATTGTTGTTCGTTAATATAATATTGTGTTCAACTACAATTAATATCCTTATATATCGTACATAAAAGAACGGGCTTTTTGCAGGTTCCCATTTTGTGACGACAATATTTAATACAGTGAAAACTGTCTAATGCAGAATAGCATAATAGGACCAACCAAAAATTCCGCTTTAAGCAGTTTTCCGGATTATGAATTCGTATCAGTTTTTCATATTAAAAAATTAGTTTACAACATAAATATTTTTTATTTTTTGAGTTAGAGGACTAATTATCAACTAAATTTATTACTTTACTTTATATAACTTATTTTAGATTAATTAAAAACTTATTTTTTTTCAAAATTATTAAAAAATTATATAATATATTACATAAGTATGAAGGTTGAGTATTTAATTTAAAAATTCAGCTTTTTCAAAAATTATTTAGAATTTTTGTTTTGTCACTGTTATTGCTATTTTTTCAATATTATATGTATTTTAATGAATATCACTTAGTATGTACAAGTGTCAAGCAAACTGTTTGGTGTAAGACTGTTTGTGCATAACTGTTTCATAGCTATACATTATACATACGGGATTATTCATATTTCAATTATTAAATAATTTGAAAATGTTCGTGATTTTTGTGAATTAAAACTGTTGACATTTTTACACTGTAAAGAATTTTTTATCAAAAATTCTTAAAAAAAAGTGATAAATTTCAATTATTTTAAAAATTGTATTATATTTAACAAAAATATTATATTTGGTGAAAATTTTAAATATTTATGGTTATTTTTTGTGAAAATACGCCAAAAATACAAAATCGATTTTATTAAAAATTGGAATTGTCTGAAAAATTTCATTTTTCCTTTATTTTTTTTTCTTGTTTATTTAAAAAATTTTCAAATTTTTAATTTCGATCTGTGTAATGTAAATTAAGATTTAAATGTCTATCCAATACCTAATCTGATCAAACTTACCTTCAAGTGAAAGATCAAAGTATTTTGTTGTTTTCTTATCGTGTTGTGTTACTTACACAAAAAAATAAAAACTAACACATCATTATAAAATCAATAAAATTACGGCTTCGATAAAAATCTATGACACAATACCCGAATTTTTTGTATCAAAGTGATTGGTATTTGGAACCACTTCACTCGTGAACCCACTATCAAACACAATACAAGTCAAGCAATTATTTCCTGTCAAATTTATTGTAGTTTGAATAAGTGTTACACGGCGTTATAATTAGGCAATAGAGGTACATTACTGTAGTGGATATAATATCAAAAAAAAATATTCAATTCATGTAGGCGTCTCGTCATTTAACTGAAATAAACAAATCTATTTTATTTACAAATTTTGTACTGAGTACTAATTCGTCGGGTCATAAAAATTACTTATCTACGGAATGACACTTAGACGAGGAATTAAGATAAAAATTGATTTAACATGTTACGTGTTTTTTTGAATTATAGGATTTATGAAAAATCATAAAACTTATTCCATTGTAAGTTTGTAGATTTTAATTGAAATTTCACGGTTAACCGTCATTGAGGAAGACTGAAAATAAGAGATGGCAGGACCAGTGACAATTTCAAGGATAGTTTTTTCAAAAATAACAAATAACTTAAAGTATAGGTAAGTCAATGCAGAAGAACGGTTTGAAATGTTTGGATATATTTATGGCATAAATGATTTGAAATTATTCAAAATCTTATGAAAATATCATTGTTGATAGAAAATAATTAAATACGTAAACATACGGATTGTCGACAAGTATCAATGGTCTGCAAAATACCAAAGACCATATTCAGAAAAAATGCGAACTATCAAAATATCTGTTCTAAAAATATTATTGGAACAATAATTTTTTTTATAAAAATATCATAATTAAAAAAAACAAAAAAAAAAAAAAACATAAAGAGTCTTTTAATAACCTTAGATGTTCTGCATTTAAAAACAACAAATTATATTGATGTGAAAATTAAAAGTATAAATACAATACTACTTAAATAGTTTATGTTTTTAGCGTTTAATAAGAATTGAAATTAATTAATAGTTAAGGTAATTTTAGGTTAATTTATATACCTATTTCATTATTTATTTTTTGAGTCTTATAATATAATTGATGAACCTAACCGATACAAAACTTTTAAACTTATAATTTACATTATATATTACATTGAGTACTTATAAATATACGTTTTATGAAATATATTATTTTAAAGTATTTAGTTAATATTTCAGGAAACAGATTTACGTAATTTTGTCTTGAGTCAGACAACAATGTGACGATAACATGGAACCCAACTATTAAAAAGCAGTTATTATATACTGAACACGGAATCGGAAGTCAATTAATAGTTAAATATGACGTAGATCATACATCTGCACAAAAATCAAATTATAGTAAGATATTTGATTTTGTTGATTATTTAACTATACAGAATAGAAACAATTAATTGTGCCTTATAATTTACCCATACCACTACGCACCCGCTGAACGGAACTAATACAAAGTTATTTAAGAGAGCACCCATATGACGACATGACGTCATGTCTCCGTCTTACATACATACATTACAGCAAATTTGGGTTTAGCAGAATCCAATTGCTTTAATAGAAGAGTAAATTTACCTATTATTAAACTAAAAAGTAAGAATATTATCTAGGCCATCACTTAAGTTTTAATTAATGTTATAATTTTAATGTGAGTTATGAGTATTTTAAAGTTGCAATATTTTACATTGTTCCAAATCACTTTAAAATCATAATATCAATAAAAGCCTATTACATGGCTTAGATAATAATTTTACCTTTAAATTTGATTATAGGTAACTGACAAAACGCATAATGTGATCCAAGTCTCATTTCATTATTAAAACTAACAACATAAAATAAATTTTGCTGAACGAAAATTTGCTATTATATGTCTGTAAGACGGAGACAACATAATAAACGGGTGTGGCGTCCTCTTAACAAAACATATTAATTGTCACTAATTAGCACTAATTGGACATAATTGGAACTAATTGACATTTATTGGATTTAATTGGTCATTTAGAGATTAAGCATGGGTTAGATTAGATTAATTTGCGTTGAGTCAGACAAGAGGGCCGGTTGGAGCAGTTGTACGGGTAAAGCATAGAGAAGCGCAACATTGTCGGGAGAAGTTGTAATGGGGAAGCGTTTGTTCGACTGTGGAGGCAATGAAGCCAAGAACCTTAAAACCAAACAAAATTGTATAGTTAAAAATGTATAAAATGTTCAATTTTTATACCTAAACTATGAAAATGTAATATGAAGTTTCCTTTAAATAGTTCATACAATCATCAAAATGATTTTTATAGAAATTTAAAGTTTAAATGAGGATGAAATTATACATTTAAACAAAGTATAAATTTTTTTAGTTATTCTGTTGAATTCAAAAATATTTTTATAAGGATTTAAAATTATATCGAAAACATTTAGATTAATTTTGAGGTATTCCATATCAAGGACGCCCGTAGAGGAGAAGTAGGAGAAATTAAATAAACAATAAAATATACTTAAAGATCAAAGTAATTTATTTTTTTGCATCATTTTTAAATTAATAATGGATTTTTTTTATATATTTCTTCGTTCCAGTAGATTTGAAATAATTTAAGACTTATGTAATATTTGTACTCTACGTAAGCGGTTACACGGAGGAAGAAATCTTATTTTAAGTGAAAAAAAACTATGGTAAACAACTTCTATCAGAAATCCATTCCAATGATTTGTTCACTTCAATAATTTTTTCAGACATTTGCCCGGGTTAAATGAATGAATGAAGAGGCTCTGGATTAATCCTGAGATCCTTAATAATGGATATTATTTTTCAATGCCTTGTAACAATATTATATTAAAGTTTATTGTAAAAATAGTCTAATCGAAAGTATGGTTTAAAAAATTTAGTTACCTATAATAAAATAATTAACACAAAAAATAAATAGTATTAAATAATAAAAATACCTATGTAGTTGAATGTAATAAGTTATACTAATGTTATATGAATACTTTTCAAAATTTCATCCCTGCAAATTTTTTAACTACTTGAAAAAAATCAAATTATCTAAGTATTTCACTATTAATACTTGAAAGAGCAAGTTCTGATAATGGAATTTTTGTTATTAAAGTAAGTTCGTGATCTGTTTTTTTTTTTTAAATTTTATTATTAATTTTACAATTGAAAATGATCGTTCCCTTCTACGATTGGACACCATCAAGACCAAATAGATACATACGAAACACTATTTTTGTATTAGAAAAAGTACTGTGTTAACTATTTTCGTCAATAATAATGTATAAAAACATTTCCCAAAACATAAACTTCGGTAAATCATCGTTATTATTATAACCCAACATTTTTAATAGCTTTGCACTAATTACCTTTCCCTCATGTGGTGAAAATTTATAGGAAACTTTTAAGTCCATAATCATTAATTTAAAATATATTGTTTAAAATATAATAACACTATGAACTACATTCAGTTGTCTAATAGTTTTGTTAAAGATACATTAAACTCATATAAAAACGGTCTATAAATCGTTATCATGAATGCCGCGGAGAGTTAAACGAAGTGATGGCAGTGATACATGCGGTTATAAAATGAACGAATGTTAAGTAATAACAGTTACAAACGTGTCTTGTGCGTTGATTGATCGATATTAATCGTTTAGATTGCTGGTCAGATGTATCAATGTTGCACTGCACCCGACGGTCGATCATGTGCAAGGGAAGTTTAAACAAAAGACGCAAAGGCTGCGTCGCGGTTTCAATCCTGAACTCATTTGATGCATATACCTACCTAGTACCTACCACTGTTTTTTTCCAATAAAAACATCGTAAGTGAACCATTTTTCGCATATTATGAAAACCGTAAAAGTATACACAGCTGTACATTACTGAATTAGAATCCAGGTTGATGGCCACCCGTTGGTTTTTTTTGGAATAGCCGACGGTTGACGCCTGTATGCGGATAATAGATGAGACGAGACGAGGAATTCATACTTGTTTTCAAAATACAAATAGCGTTTATGACCCATCATGCTCTATAGACTATAGTAGATATGTCTGAATGAAAAAACGAGGGCCTTTTTTTTTTTACCCGGAAAACGGTTGTTTAAGATTTCCTTTCCTACAACCACGTGGGTGGCAAATGTTCTATACTTGGGGTGAAAATTCCGAATACCTTAAAGTATTGTTATATCATGTAATCATGATATACTTACCTACAGTTATGTAGCATTGGCATGAGAGAGGTTTTGGGACAGGTTAAAAATGTTACATTAATACATTATTGTTACCTATTCATTGTTCATACCTATTAAAATCAATAACTATGTAAAATAATTAAATGTAGGTAATACTTTTTGTTCAAGACATTACACGGATAAATGGATAATGCAATTTGACAATGAATTATTTAAACGCCATATTATATTTGAGCTAAACTCACTAAAAAACGTAGAGAAATGTGCACGTGCATACATAGGCGCGCCGCGAACAGGATGCACGTGTACCCTTCTGGTTTTTCAAAAAAAAAAAAAAATTAAAAAAATTGAATGGTATTGAAAATATTTTATTTTACATAATTTTCTATATTATTATCTATTATAACACCTATTTTTTTTAAACAATAAATGTAAACGCCTAAATTTTTTTTTTTGTAATTTCTTCAATTGAATAATATTTCTACGTATTTAACTTAAATAATTTAAGCATTATTTAGAACCACGTATACTATGTACAATGCATCCCCCTGACAAAATTTTTGGCGGTGGCGCCTACGTGTGTGCATACATATCGACTAAAAAAATTTTAAATTTGTAGAAGGCCAATTATTTTTTTTTTTTTTGTAAAATATATGAGAATTTGAGTATATCTCGTCACTGAGTAATTCATTGTAATGTACCAGTAGAATTTGAATGTAATAATAAATCACTTCAAACGGTAAATAATTCCCGTCAGCCTATAAATATTAGGTACTAAGTATTTATAATGAAAGTATATTTTTTATATCGCTATTTAAGTAATTTATTAAACTATTAGTACCTATTACGTCTAGGTTTAATTTTTTTCAAAATCATTGTATTTTTTTTTTTTTTATTATTAATATATGATATTTATTTATTATTATACTTAAATCATAATTGTTATTATTACCTATTAATCTTAGAGTCAGTACTGTGTTACTGTTAAACGATGTGAATAAATTTACGGTATAAATAGGCAATAGCTTGAATAACAAATTAATAAATGTATTTTTTCTAAATTCTTTTTTTTATTAATTATACATTTATTAATCCATCTAAATATAATAAAATACGATAATATTATGCTTAAAAGTTTCAAATCCCCATGAAAAATATTTTTTGATTACAATTTCAATATTATAACAGTATATATTTACTATTTATGTATTATCAACAGTTAATGTAGTAAATATATACTATTTATTTTATAATAATTAAATATTAGTACTTCATGTATATTGTATAATACATGCAATATTTTTAGCAAAAATTAAATAAACCTAAGTGTAATTAAACATTAACTAAATGTTTAATAGTCATTAATAGTAAAATAAATTACTTTAATAGCAATATCTAAAAACATAGTTAAAAAATACAAAATACTGTATTATTAAACAATTATAATTTAACATATACATTGTAGTGACTTACTTAATGAGGTATAATCGACACCTTCTATACAGCAGAGTCATTACCTTCTTGATTGCTTCATTAAAAATATAAATTAAATTAAATTACTTAAAACAATTATATACCAACAATGATATAATTGCTATTTACCACTCATAATACATACATATATATACAATATTTCCACATAAAAGGCATTTTTATTGCTTGTTATCTAAAAGAATTTAATAATTTCTATACAAATTAGAAAATTTTTATTTTAATATTATTAAATTCCATAAGGTGAGGAAACTATCCATTAATAACACCTTTAATAATTTTTTTGTGACTTAGTTTTGGTTTTAATTTAGATAGTCTTAAAGCTAATTTAATTTGAGTCCTCTATTTGGATTACCGTGGAAGGTTTTGAAGATGAGCAAATTCATAAATAATGAGTGTTTAAATTTAAGTAAAAATGCACTTCATGTAAACACACAGTTATTAGAAATAGTCAGATAGATTGTAAATATTATATTAATAATTATCATAAATTAAATTGCTATAAAAAGGTTTGATGCTTTAGTTTTACCCAATATTTTCATTTCATAAACCTAAACTAATCCTAATGATTGTTTTACTAAATTAATATTTAAGTCAATTGTAAATTCTAATAATTGAAACAGTAATTATAGTGTTAAGTATCTAATAGACAGCTGATTCTATCAGATCATCATTCACCACTGCTCTATCTATTATTCTATTCAAGTATAGAAAAAATTGTATAATAACTATAAAATACATTGTATCATTGTTGATTGGTTAGGGTACAGGGGTGCTGCGGCACCTTGTTCTTTTTGTACTTTGCTCTTATACTTAAATACTTTTCTTAAAATACCTATTAATCAAAGTTAGATAGAGATATGTCATAGTTATTAACACCTTTAAACTAGAGAAAAGTTTTAACATTTTCTAAAAAATAATAAATTTATACTTTTAATAAATATTCCATATTATATAAGCAGAAATTAAGGAGAATAGGAGGGGTGTGTTAAGAGCCAATAGATCAACTTAAAATTATTCGGTGGTTTTTTGTATAAAAATATTACATTTTAGCATATTTAAAATAAACTACTATATAACTATAACAGTTTTATCTACAGAAAATGATGTAATATACAATTTTAATTTTGAATAGGTATTAAAAAAATTTACCTTACAAAAAGTTGAAAAATTTTTTTATAAAAAAGACCTATCATTATTTATTCATCTATTTATTATTATAATAAATAGTATGCTTTTATTATTTTTGTTATAATTGTACTATTATAAAAATTATTTTATTATAATTTATTGCATATTTGTAGTGACTATAATAAAAATATACAATTAATATTTTTTTAAATTTATCTTGGGTGAAATTTTAGAAATTAAAGTAATCTCATTAAATAAATTATATGTAGTCAATTATTACTATTATAGTAATATTATTTCTTAATAAAACATAGTTATAAATATAAATATAAGTACATTAACACAAAAATAATACATTTTAGTGTTCAGACAGGAATAAAAAAAAGAAACTTTTTTGTGAGGATTCTCAATTAATTATTAGCCCCTAAAAATCTTTATCAGTGTTCTAATATTTTTTTATATTCCACTCCATGTTTGCATTATATATATTGTATATTTTAATGTGTGTGAAGAGAACTGTATAATTTAATTTAATTTTAAATAGAATATAATTCAAAGAATATCAAAATATATATGATAATAATAATAATAAGTTAAAATTGTGTTTCTTATTATTATTAGTAGATATTATACAGTTTTCTAATAACTATGATATGATATGAATAATTCTATGTACATTTTTAATATTTTAAAAAAATTATTGTTAAAATTAATGTTAATCTTTTTTTTTTTTTTTACAGATAAACAGGGCAGAGATTTGCTGTTAGATGTGAATATTTATGAATTTATAGAAAGCGAAGTTTCATTACAATTTTATATGGTATTATTCATTATTATTATCAGTTATTGACATTTTTTATGTACTATTTTATCACTTAAACTTAATAGTATATCGTAACAATTATTATTTTTTTGATGACCCAAAACCTGAAAATCCCATTAATGCAGCCATATCATCATTTTGATGTTCATCATCTAATTCTTCATGTTTTCGTTTTTTTTCCTTCTTTTTTTCTTTTCTATATTCCTTTAACTTCTCTTCCTAAAAAGTAATAAACAAATAAAAATAAAAATATTTGAATTGAAAGAGTATGTTATTTTTAAAATTACTTCTTCTTTTAATTCTCGTAAACGTTGTTCTAAATCATAATCTTTTTTCTTTTCTTCCATTTTTTTTTTATTTGTTTCAAATCGTTTTTTTACTTGATCCAGTGATGATCTTTCAATTTTCATGGACATCCCCAAATTTCTTTGATGTGAAAATATGAAGTTATTTAAATATTAATAAATATAAAAATGTTTTAAAAAATCATTTAGAATACACTTATGTCTCAATATTAAGATTTATGAACAATAAAATTCATAAAAACATGTTGAATTATTTTTATCCCTCTTGAGAGATAAATAATTGAAAGTTTACAGTACAAAACTATTCTAATCAGTTATCAATAAACCAAATTCTAGTGCAGTTGCCTGTATCATTCCTAAAGCAATGATTTAAAAATTATAAATCCAAATTTAGTGGAATAAATAAATTTAAATAAAGTTTTATTTATGTTTCAAAATTGCATGTTTCTGGGTTTTGGTATTAAAATATACATTTTAAATTGTATTTTACCTATATACATATAAATGCTTGTTTTCATATTATTATAAGGATTATTTATAGTTTTTGTTTCGTTATAATTATAGTTCAATTTAAAATTTAACATGATACATAACATAAAAATATGAAGGTTTAACAACCATATGCAACCAATTGACTAATTATTAAAGTTTAGTCTACCCAATACAGCTATAGGAAAAACTGATAGAAATTTATATGATACTATATTTTAATAAAATACTATAAATTAAATTATAATATTTTTGCTTTACATAAACCTACAAAATACACACATATTATTATGTGAAATAAATAGTAGTAAAAATATAATTTTAAGTACCTATGCTAAAAAAAATTTGTTCTTTAATTTCTTATATACTAAAAATTTAATTTTAAATAATTTCAGGTGTTAGTTACACTTTACAAAAACTACAGTCTTTAGTAATCATTAATCAAAGAGTAATTTATTTTGAGAGACCACTACAATACTAAATAATATTTATCTATAGTATTTTATAATTACATGAAATGTAGACTTACGTTTTTTTCCATTTATATGATCCAAAAAATTAATGGAATCTTTAACCACACAATCGCAAACATTACAGTAATAACTGAAATATAACATAATTGATTGAGTAAAAATAAAGTAAATAAAAAAAATGATTTATTACCCTCCACTTTGAGAAGAAGGAGTGGCTTTAGTAATTACAACACTTTTTCCAAGTTTTGAGTCTAAGTCTACACGGTAATCTCGTTGCTTGAGCATTTCTCTTTTGATTGGTGATAGCTCTTTGGAACGATCATCATCGAGATCATCCATCAATCGCTTTTTGGCCAATTTTTCGTATTCGTCTCGGTCCCATTTTCGACGATGATCTTCCGGTCTCTATTAAACATTTAAATAAAAATTATTTTTTACACTACCAAACTGTCTTATATATAACTATTAGAAAAGAATGTATACTTACACTACTTGATGACATTATGAGTTTGTTTTATTGATTTATTGAAATAAGGGTAATAAAAAATGTAATAGTTAAAATCTAAAATAACGATCAAATGCCAGAAGGAATATTATGTTTTAATTGTTAATTAAATACTTGGTGTTTGAATAATTTGATAATATTTTAAAAAATATTTGGTTTTACTTTTTGTTTTACTCAGTTCCGCAGCTTATCAATAAACAATTCAACAAAAATATAGTATAAACATTGATAAGTAGAAACATGTAATATTGATAATAAACTCGTGATATCGTGCATGATAATGTAGTGGTCGGTAATACAATTTGGTAACCAATGTAATGATAAGCAGTTATAGTATAGAATATAGATGCTTCCAACTTTATTATGAGCCTTGGCGCAGTATTTAAGTTTGAACGAAAATAAGTAAATTTATTATAGCTAAAAGAATGTTACAGAATACTCATATACTTACGTTTTAAATGTTAATAATCTATACTATGTAAAAATATTGAAATATATAACTTTCATGTATCATTATTTCATGCCATTAGAGTTCGTAATTTATATAAATCAAAAAAGATTTAAATACGAAATATACCTATAATATTTTTCTGTATAATTATTAATTTTGTCAAGATGCAATAATAAAAATAGAATTTCGATTATTAAAAACATACAATGATATTTTCAAATAGGTAAAAATATGTTTTATATTTTAAACAACTCAAAATTACGCCATTAAAATATTAATTATGCGCTAGTATATGAATGCTATAATGATCAAACACAGTTTTTATAACATAATAATTTGTTGTATAGTTTTTGATAAAATATTATGATAGCTAAAAAGTAAAAAATAAAAATGTATTAAAATAACTCTACCATAAGTAATCTAACCTAATTTAACCCTTAACACCATTGCTAGTTAAAAAAAAGCATAGTGGAAATTTCCAGTTACTATATATAACTTTATCACCATGATTACGAAGGCATGTTTATCGTATTTTGGAAATCGTCCTAAAACACCTATATCTTCAAACCCTTCAAACAAATCAAGTGATTTTTCATACTCTACGTGTTTCATAATTACCACTTCTCCGAACTGAACATTTTTTTACCACTTTCTTTCATTTAAAAAACTTTTAATTTAATTTGTTAAAAACCAAAATTTGACAAAACTAGGTACATAAATTATAGATTTTAAACAGCGCCGCACAGTACTTTCTAAAGGTAAAATTATACCGTTTTTCCTTATATAAATCGATAAATGTATGTAATAGCTGGTGACTTATAGTTAAATGAAAATGTAAGATTTTTTTTTTTTTTTATTTTTATCTAGAGCGATTTTTTTGTAAAACTTGCATTGTCATAATAGCTTTTAAGTTTACCGATGGAAATAACGTTTTATTGAAAAATTGTTGAACATAGTTCTAATTGACTTTATCATCATTATTTTTTGTTTTAACGATCTAATAATGACACTTTTTTTAACATTCTGCGAACCCTTTAAGGTTTTTTTTAAGGATCTCATGTTTATTAACTTTTTTATGTGAACTAACCGTGGGGACTTCTTGAGTCCTCAACATATTTATTCAAGGTGATACGTAGTTTCTGGTAGTTGGTGTTATTGATAACGAAGGGCTGTTTTCCAGAATAACTAAAGTTAATAAATCAAATTCCCCGTTTTCATAATTTGTACGTACCAGTGTTAATACTTTTAAAATATAAGGAAATTCTAAATTCAAAACATAGTTTTGGTCTTTTAGGTACACAAAAAAGAAAAAATATTTTCCTTTATTATCAATTAACTTTATTATTTCAATTACATTTTTATGATTTTGTTAACATTTATAATAATAATAATATATAAATATAATTTAATGGTTAGGTTAAAACAAACTAATATAAATACTAATAAATATTAATATAATTTATAGTCAAATTCACATAAATTATTTTATTTTCGTAATAATCTATTTATTGTTAACTATTATACTATTTTATTAAAAATGTGCAAGAAAAACAACTATTTCATCTACATGTTTTGAATTGTATTAAAATTTGTTTAGATATAACTAAAGCTGAGATTTTAATGCAAAGGCATCTTTTTTTTGTATTCTGAAACGTTAGTCCGTATGTATAAATGTTCAAGCTATAATAAATATAATTTAAATGCATTTTTATATTGCATTTTTTTGAGTTTTTTTAGTCATTTTTCATATTTTTAAGGGCATTTTCGAGATTTTTTTAAAGCATTAAAATTCCAGCTCTAGTTAAAACTAAATAAATTTAATAATTGGATTAAAACTTAAATCAATTAAAAAAAAACAAGCTACAACGTTTTATAATCCTTTGTTTTTTATCTGATTAACTAAAACTGAAATAATTGAGTAGCAATTACTTATTGTCTGTAATAAATAAATAATATAAATTAAATTATTTTTTAATCAAATTGGAATTTTTTATCAGAAGTTTGTAATGACTAAAATAATTGGATAAACTAAATAAATATGCATATTCTTGTTTTCAATTTCGTCAAAATCGTTACATCGATAATAATCCGGTTCCTTGTAAATTTCTCATATAGCAAAAAAAAAAAATTAAAACATATCACCATTTTTTTTTTTTTAAGTATTTAATATTATAATAAATCAGTGCTTAAAAAAATATATTTTATTGTTTTGTTGTATTAAAAAAAAAATATTTGTAGTAATTTGAATGATACTTGATATGATAATTTTATATAATAATATATAAAATATATATTAAAAATCAAAAAAATGTATATAATTATTTTAGCTAAAAAGTTATAAATAACAATACCGCAATAGCTATTTATTCTATGAATGCATTTGATTGGAATTTTATAATTTTGGTAAAATAATAAAAATATCAGTATGTACTTACTTTAAAAAAAAATTCCAAGTTTATAATTTTTAATGTTGTAAATTTTAACTTTTTAAAGTTTGCATTATTCACTCTCATTATTAATAATATTAGTTTTTTGCATTTCATATCCATTTCAATCCAATTACTGCTATACAATGAGAATACGATGGAATCATTCTTTGACGAACAAAAAAATAAAAATTAAAAGAATATTTAATAAGAGCTTTTAAATCTGTGGTTTTGTAATTTGTTGAACTCAATTTATCTTCAAAATTAAATATATTCAATGTATATTGACTACATAAATTATGAAGCAAATATTTAATAAAATAGTTAAATATTTAATTAAATTTTTTATTAATTAAATATTAAATTAGTGAAATAATATAAAATTACAATTTTTGATGTATATCTTAGTTCCGTCCATTTAAAAAGAAAAATTATTTTTAATTTTATAAAAATTCTTAAGTTGTATATAAGCCTGGTCGATCAAAAAATAGATAATATTTAAAATAATAATGTATTTCAAATTACTTGATTGTGTAAATTTCCAAATAAATAACACACCATAAATATCTGAAAGGAGAATGCAGGAATTAGAGATAACATTCTTATTATTGTTTGTTCCGTAGTCTCAAATCTATCTACACTGGAAAAAATCTGAAAAAAATTGATTTAAAATAATAAAATAAAAGTTAAATTTATTAAGTATGCAAATGAAGAATTGACAATTTAAAACAATTTATCATAAAATAAAAAAATTGTTGAACCTTTAAACTTTATTGCAAATTATTGTTAATTTTTAATAATATCGTAAACCTAAACAGTTACTTTAGAGGAATATAGAATCGTTTTTAACTGATTTAACCATTGTAATCAAATCTAAGTAATGCATAATTATTTTACCGTTATTAAAATGACCCAAAGTAGGACGAGTGAAAGTGATGAAACAAAAACTTGTATCAATATTGCTTTTTCAAAAATACCTAAGAAAACTTCATATTTCCTAAAAAAAAAATAATGTTTAAACATTTGTAAAGATAAAAATTTGAATGATACTCTCAGCTTCATCTGATAATAATTAAATAAAGTTGGGCGTTCACGAATTTCTTACTTAGCCGGATAAACGTACATTTTTGAACGAATTATATTCAAGTCACAATTCGTATTACTTTTTTAGCATTAGTAAATAAATATAAGTAGTTCCTAAAATAATATTACTTAGATTATCCTTTTAACATTTTAAAGGTTAAACCATATAAGACGTATTGCATTATCTAAAATTTAGTATAATTTAAAGCAGAGATGACGAGTCTATGTCATACGTGTTGTAGAGTAATACGCGCACATTATTTCAGTGACACACCAATTTAAATATAATTCATAGTTTTTACTTCATTTTCCAAAGAAACTATAATCCCAAGAATTATTCATTAGCTGGAAAAATGCAACAACAGATTTCACAGATTTCACATTAAATACTAGTTTTTGTAATAAATATAACATATTTTTTAAATTTTTTATTTTATTTTAGTGTTTAAAATTATGTGCTTATATTAATATGTAATAGTAATTTTAAATACTTTAAAATTGAAATATATCAGTAAATAAAATCCTGTTTATAAATTTAATTAGTTATTATATGAGCAAAATAAAATTTAAAAAGTTTCATTTGACACGCAGTTACCAAAAGGTTCGCTATCCCTGGTGTAAAGTATACATAAGGACTGTAAAATAATTTATGTAATTATCTTCACTAGATTGTAAAATTTCGTTTCCACATTTGAATTTTAAGATTTTTATGTAAAAATTTCTTTTACACTTGAATGGATTTTTGAGAATATTTCAAGTGATTTTACGGTATAGATTTAATTTTTTTTTTTTTTAAAACATTAAAGGACTGGAATTTAATGTATACTTGTATGGACTAGGAAAGGAAATATGATGAGAGAAGATTTCAACATACTTTAAATAGTTAGTGAGAAAAAATTGTGATTTTATAGTTTAATATCAATTGACATGGTATTGAAATGATGAGCTTGAAAGTTTATAAGAAAAAAATTTATTTTGGCAAATGTTGTATTAATTATTTAAACAAAATTTTTTATACAATTATATTAAAATTCAATATATTCAAAAATGATATAATATTTTACGGTAATTTATTAAAATAAACTCTTACTTCAAAATATCTTGGTGATACATTATTATTCTTTTTAATTCATCATATATTAAATTGTGTTTGGTATATATCTTTTTATTTATATCCACAGAGTAATCTACAAGTAAACAAAACAATTGTTAAGTGAGTAGAATAAGAAATGTTTTCAATTGATTAACAATACACAAATTTCATATAATACTTAAATATCGGAAATTTAATCTTAATTTATGTCTTAAATAGAAAATAATAAAACATCACAGAAATCCGTATAATAAAAACAATTTTATGAAATGTGAACAATTAAAATTTTTACCGAAATTTACAAACAATTAGATAGGTATTTTTGATTATCCATTAATGATTCACCTTAATAACAAAGTATAAAAACTTTTTTTTTGAATCAGAGCAATAATTCCAGATAAGTTTCAAATATTATCAATTGTTATATATTTATTAAGAGATATTATTTTGTGATATTTTTCTGGAGTATTTTGAAGTGTATTTTCATCAAAATGTCGTACTTACCAATCGGGGAATAAGTATCGCCAATCGATATATATTCGACTGATTCAAATGCAGAGTTAATCATGTTCAACTGGCCGCAAATACCAAAGCACAATGTAATCAGAAGAAAATCGAATATGGTGAATAACAATACTATAAAAAACGTGAGCAACCCTTCGGTAAAGCAAAATATATAATAATGTTCATTGTACGTTTTATCAGACACAATTATATAGAAGTTTAAGATATTTTGTCGGTAATAGCTAACCGAACCGTCACGATTGTTAACTTGTGTTACATTTTTACGGAATGCCAGTACGATGCCCGAGAAAGTGACTAGACCGATGAAATTTGTAATGGCTAGTAATGTCGAAAACCTTATCGAACGTTTTCGCCAATCATCTAGTATATGTCTCTTGTTGAAGCCGAACGGTGTAAAACCGTATCACGTGATCGACAGGCAATTCCATATTTCGTTCGAATGGTTGATAATAATCCACACTTTGTAACATAAGAGCACCATGTTTTCGGCTTTCCAGAGGTCTTCCATACCTAAAGACACATTGGCCGTCCAATAGTACAAAAAACTAACAGTAGAAATTATCGAACATGCATAAAAACACATCAGAATAAATTTCAAAATAATATTATAGACATTTCGACCTATAAATTGTTTGGCTCCGGGATCCATCATTTGATATAAGCCAGTAAATTTGGCCAATTTAATATTGAAAATATAGTTTCTCTCGTCCTGATCGTCCATGATAATAGTTTTAATTATTATTATTATGTAAATCGACAAGTAGGTAATAACATAAATTTATAAATATTTTTCTGTCGTCTTTAGGCTTTAATCAAATATTTAGGTCCGCATCACTTTTAAGTTTTAAGTAAATTCACTTAATTACTTACAGTTTATATGGTTTCCTAAACACACCTTTAAAGTAAACTATGTCGCTTCTGTTACACAGTGGTACATAGTTAATTACTGTATCTATAAACATTGCACACAATGTTATTAAACAGTAATTTTACTTAATTTACAATAAAATTACTTAAAACACTTACTTGTCAATTGTCATTGAATGTCTTCGAATATCTATTAGATTAATAACAACAAAACTAAAAATTAGATTTTATTTTATTTTTATTTTAACATCAAATACGATCACAAAGTCAATGCATATTATAATGTTGTAATTATTGCTGTTCAGTTGAGTTGTTAGCAGCACAAATTAAATTGTTTAATGCCACATGCGTGATTAACTTTTATAGGCAGTTCACAATTTTTTTAACTTTTGAATAAAATTTGTGCGTGAGATTAAAAGTTTTAAAATAATAATTGCCAATCAATTAAAAATCCATAGTCAAATTCGTAAGAATTTACATTTTTTTGTATAACATTCTTCGTTTAAAAAAATAAATATATATTGCAGTGCAACTGAAACTTTTTTAATTATAGGCAAAATAGATAGTTATGTTGCAGTTGATAAATTATGGATTAGATCTACTTTAAACTTTGGTCGTAGTTTCAAAACTCGTCGATTTTAACTACAGGTTAAGTACCTACATAAATAATTACTTGAAGTTGATGCGTATTGTATGGCGTGTAGTGGCGTCATACCTATAGTTAAAAAGGTGGAAGGGTAATCAAGACCTTGAATTATTCGTTCAATAGCTATATGGGTTACGTGTTGCATTGTATGTTACTGACTTATATACTTATTGCCACCTATTGATATATCATATGTTGCTTCTTATACGTAAGTAGGTCAGTGCTATAATATGTTAATTGTGAAGAATGGAGAGCGGAGTCAATTGCGAACTTAAAGTTTTTTAGCACACGTTGTTGTTTATAATAATGACCGATGCGTATTTGACGGGAGTATGCAATACGAACAGAAATAATAGAGCCCCGCGACGATCAGTATAGTAAGCACATAATTTTACAACTGATTTTCTCACACATTTCTTTTCCAACTTATTCAGTCCTAAGACTGCATGTCAGTGAATATTTTAAAAATGTATTTTTTGGTATTCTGTATGTTAAGAGATAAGTACGATTGCAGACTATTAAGGGAGCAATCATTTGATTTGTTATTTGTTTATATTTATTTTAGTTACCTTGGAAGGGGTTACGCATTTGTTCCAAGTAATTCAATTGGTCAATTACATTATTTGAATACTTTATTAATACATTTTTCATTATTTTAGATAATAGTTATTTCTATTTATTTTTATTAAATTAAATTTAAGTTCAGTTTCTGATTGAATATTTAAAATTACATTAATTACTTAGTACATATGTGGATGAGGGTTGTTTAATTGATTATTAAAATGTCTATGAAAAACTTCAGATCCACTCGATGGTCTGGGTAGGTCATCTAGTTTTTTTTTGCCAACAGGGATGAGTTGAAATTTAATTTAGGTAATATTTATGTTGCAAAAACACAATCAAAGAATTATAATTCATTGGTCGGAGCAAAAGCTATACAATTTGAAAATATTTATATTTCTTTAGGTGACAAATACGGCAAACCAAAAAATCTTTAATTAATTTACATTTCTTCGAATTATTATTTATATACTCCCTAATAATGTACTACTACTTTATATTCAACCAAATTGAGATTGAACTAAATGAACAATTACTTCAATTTTTTTTTTCGAAATTATACAACTATAAATTTTGACAGTAATAAAATTTATTTTTGTTTATCATTGATAAATTGTAAATTATTAAAACGTTTTTTGTATCTCCTAAATTATCAGGTTTTAGTACGTGGGAGGTTTTTTTGTGTCAACAACGATAATATTTTACTTTAGTTGGTACTGATACACAAAGAAAGCGATAAAACGAGACTACTTCGGCAAGCGAATACATTTTTTGCCCATTTAAAAATTTCATTGTATGTTTTTTTAATAATCAAAATTCTATTTTAATTATTGTATGCAGTTTGACACAATTTGAGCTATATTAACTAACTTTGATGGCACCCTGGGTGGTCGCTCAATTCACCCACAGAAGACCACATGTTCTGTAGAACACATCTACAAAAGACCTTCTCAGTATACTATATTACTATGTTATCAAAATCATTGTATATACTGATATTAATGAAGTGTACACTACTATATTATACAAATAGTAATAATATATTATTTTACATACATATTTACTGACTTGTAGAAACATAAAATGTTGCTCGGCGTATAATGTATGCAAAATAGGTACATTATTAAAGTGTTCTATGCTGTCGATAATTACATAAATTTTACTATTTTATCTTATCATAATAATTCTACTCGCCAAGAAAATGTGGTTACTAATTGACATAAGTCAAGACAGTCTAATCATGCTACAAACACCCAAATTCGCACTCCTCATCGTATTTGTATGCACGAAGTAATAACCACATTCTCTCGACGAATGAAGTATAGATACGAGTACAAATGTAAAATACATAAATACAAGAATATCAGAAGCTAACGAACAATCGATAAGAAAACGAGGATTGAATCTATGATAAATTTAAATTAAAAAAAATTGTAACTCGTATTTAAATGTGTATATTTAAAAAAAAAATTAAAAAAAACATATTAATTAGGTAACTATGAAACTTGCACTACTAAAAAGAATAGGTATACAATATTTAAGACACGTATAGTGTACTACGTCATTGAGTTGGGAACTGTCATTAAATAAAAATTCAGTGATAAATCATTGTATATGTTGAAATTGATTATGAGAAGAGGCTATCTGTCAGTCTATACTTCTAGGTATATTTTTATAAATTTATATTGTTGTTAGTAATTTTTCTCTTTTAGTAATACCAAACGTGTATTTGTAGCCACTGTAACATGGACGACTTATAACGCGCCCAATACCGTTACAGATTATCTAATAATAATTAATTTTGTAATTAATTTTTGCAAATACATAGCACATCACTTCCATGAATATGCAATTATTCAAATATAACATAATTTTGATGATATAATATAAATTCTTATAACACTTTTTCCGTGACAATATCTTAAGATAAAAAAATTAGGTAATTAAATCAGTTAAATTGAATTAGTTAAGTCAACGTTAAGAATGTTAAGTTATAGTCACATGAAAAATAATAATTAAATGTTTTGTTAAAAATGCATATTTCTTATTACTGCATAATAGAGGTATTGGTGATTACTCGTTTGTATCTACTAAATTGTTTAAATTATTAAATAAAAGAAAATAATATTTAATCTTTTATTTATATTTAAAATAATTTTAAATATTGAGTAATTAACCAAAAAATTATTAATTTATCACTTTTAATTACTATAGAAAACAGTACAATTGCAACTTTTCAAATTAACTGAAAAACCTATGTTATCACAATAAATTATTTTTATTTATAAAATTAATTTACTATTCAAAATGAAAATGAGATAGATATAATTACATACTTAATAAAATTATAATCAATAAAATAGATACTGTTTATCCTAATTCTTAGTCAAAAATACCTGTATAACTGATCGAGTGGATGACCAAGATTATTTTTTTAAGCTATTTATCTATTGATAAAAATACAAATCACATATTTTATTATTAGTTGTGATAACATTTTCAAGCATTAGCTAGAGCAGAGGTTCCCAACCCGTGGTACGCGTACCACTAGTGGTACGCGGAAGGCTCGTAGGTGGTACGCGAAGAAATTTTTTTATTACTATTTGCATTCAATATTATTTAGTTTAGTTTATTTGATATTAGCTAATTTTATAAAATTATTATTTTATCAAAATAAATTTAATGTCGATAACATGGGGTTTGTAATTGTAGCAATTTAGAATTTTAGATAATCTATTCTTATCGATAAAGCGCATTCTTATAGTTTTAAGTGTTTTAACGTTTGTGTTATTTATATTATATTTTATATAATATGATATATTGATGACCTTGTAAAAAATAAACAACAACAAATATCACATTAATTTTATTTATTTAATTTTATTATTATTTATATTTATTATTTTTTTTTATTAATTTGAAAATTGTAATTTAAAATTTAAATATTTAGATTTAACTAAAAATTATGATTTTTTTACTTTCATAAATATCAAATAATAAAAATGTAAAGAATTGAATGAATAATAAAAATATACGCTAAAAAAATTTGACTCCTAATTTAGTTTTAAAATTGAGGTGGTACGCGTATTGATTATAAAAGTGTCTGGTGGTACTCGATGATAAAAAGGTTGGGAACCCCTGAGCTAGAGAATTGTTATAATAATATAATTCATATGACTTGTTTTCAATTTAGACATATTTTATGGTTTTATTGAGTTAGACTGCAATTCTCAACTTGTAGACAAATGTTAGTACAGGTATCGTTATGTCAATAACAATACATTGTGATTGTCATTTATTTACAGTGATAACATTATTGATTGACGATCGATGTGTAATTTTATACTAAGTTTATTAAATTTAGAAACATAAAATGCTATATGATACTAAACTTTTTACTTGTTACATTTATCTTTTATACCTGCAAGATTCAGGGGTCGGTAATTAAATTCTATAGCGATCCAGATAATTCGAAAAAAAAATTTTAGAATACCAGAAAAAATTGAAATATTATTTAACAATTAGTGTATTTATTTTTATGTTTTTGTGTTAAAAATAAACTTTAAGCTGTTTAAAGCAAATTATTTAATATAATATAATAACACTTATAAAGTTACATACTAAAACAATACAGTTTTATATTAAAAGGTTTAATGATAGAAATTACATTTCTTGTCCTGAGCCAGTTATTAAAAAATTTGATACTCTTGGAGAATAATTAACGCGCAGTGTTTTTAAGGTAAAGATCAGTTAATCTTGAACAACATTCATTTTTTAAAAACGTCGTTTTGAATAGAACGAAGTTGCACGTGTGTATGTAGAGCAAAATAGGGTGGTTAATTTTATGGCCAATATTTTACATTTTATGTACTTACCCAAGAAATATTTTACCTATAAGCTAATATGTGCGGAAAACCAGCATTAAAAAAATATATTTTTGGCAGTCTAGTTGTTTCCCTTCCGTGAGCCATCTATTACTAACTATTGTTTTAAACCAATTGATGTAGTAGTGGATACTAGGTATAGGTAGGTTTATACCTATAATTGTAAATCATAACTCGTCAAAGTTTTTAAAGAAAATTTTGATAAATCAAATCTAGTTTATTTATATTGTTATTATTGTTATTAAACTTATAATTTACATATAATATAATCCCTCTGAATTAGTTAGAATTGACTAATCTCTTCACCAACTATAAAAATCAACCTTTTACTTTTTAAATGGTAAGTAAATCAGGATATTGTATTAAAATCATTGAATATTATATGATTATATGTAGGTTATTTTAAATTTAAATTAAGCTAGATTTTAAATTTAGGCAAATGGATTAATAATAAACTTTAGATTTTTAAAATTTGAACCGTATTTTCTAATGCTTTTCATTGAAACACTAAAGCTTTTCTACAAAATATTAAAAAATAAGATATTTTAACAAAATTATGTCATAAAAGTAAGTAATATAAGATTACGCTTATTAATATATATATATATATATAAACACCAACTTAAAAAATAAAAAATAAATTTACTGAGATACTTATAACAATAAGCTTATTGTTTAACTTATCTTAAAATAGTCACATGTACCAAAACACAAGATCTTACTGTTTACCGTACTTTATATGATTTCTTTGTAATAATTGCAGTTTATCGTATACATAGTATGTATTTGTTTTTCTTATTAATTGAGCTCGAAGACATGTTTGTAGTATATTACAAGTGGCAGTGTACGTTAATTTGCGTACCTACCATCCTATTATTTTATGCACCTAGGTAAACCACGGTGCAGTACGACATAATGTAAATACTAATAATACTACTCATACAGGTGAACACATTTATAATGTAATTACGATTGATAAACATGATCGTGGATACATGCAAATTGAGTTGGATTTTGTTTATGAAAAAAATTAAAAAATACAAGTATACATAAATACATTTGCGTCACATAATAAAATTGAAATGTCACAGTTTGACATGCGTACCTTTATAATTTATGTGTGTTGCTTACCTAATACTTGTGTTTGTACAAATGGATAATACTTTGTTACCTAGATTATAGAGTCGCAAAACCGTATGGACGAGATAAATGACACTAACGACTATATTATAATAATAATTGTGTATTGCCTATGTTTTTCGATATTTTACATCGTGCCGTACTCGAATGACTGCACGAAATCTGACTTTTTTTTCGGTTTTATTATATTTCATTCTCTGTTACTTCGTAATTGTTCGTTCGAGCTTATGCGAATATTCTTCCGTATATTATAAATTTACAACGCATTAACGGTCGACTGCAATATGATTTAATAATTGTATTAAATATTTTAGTAATATAATAAACATATCATCTACAACATAGGTATTCATACACCACATCTCATTCGCTGCACCGACGAATCATGAAACATTTTCACCATTATGCAGTTGTGTTCGTCTTCGTGATCGCGTGCAACTACATTGTAAGTCGAAATCACCTATATATCACCTCTAGCCTATATATGTGTAATGCATTTTACGATCAATGTATTCATTATTTAAATAGATGTTCAAATCCTTTGGATACACTAGAGTGGATCTTGAATCTTCATTTGTGGTTGATGATGAGGGGGTAGAAGTCACAATTTTCAAAGACGCTCTTAATAGTTAAGATACGCTTCATAATAGTAATTCCTTTTTTTTTTTTTTGTACACATATTTTATGCCCTCTTTTTTTTCTTGGCTGTTTTATATATTTATCCACTAAAAGCTGATCCCGTGCACTTCGTTGCCCATTAAAAGTGCCTACTATAATATTATGTTTTATTTATACGTTGCCCGCCGACCAGTAACGATGCATTCCTTCGTAATTCGTATGCGTGTTGAAATTATTATCAATGTTAAACAAAAATTCTCATTTATTTTTACTACCGAATAAAAAAAAGTTTTTGAATCAATATATTAGAATTTTATTTATTTTAATCATTACATAAGTAAATTAATAAAAACAATTCGTAAATTATATTATTATCTTCCATTATATAATAAATATAGCTGTTGCCCGCGACTTCTTCCGCGTCAATTTCTATTATTATGATCACAATTAAGAAATCTTTAAAAGAATATATTTTAAAGTACTTCTGCCTAAATGATATTTTTAGTTTTATTTTCTTGTGGCAGATGAATATACCTACTGATTTTCTCCGCAACCCGATCTTGACAACGCGACATATAGTTGACCGCGTGAAAAGCATTCTTGACGTAAATCGATTCCTACGTGTTTAAATGTTTACCCCTGTGATTTATTGATTATTACGGCAAAAGATAACTTAACGAAAAATTGAATTCTTTTAAAATTAAAAGGTAAATCATTTGAAATCATAGGTATGCAAGGTGTAAACACTGTTTGACCAACTGCTGGACCAGTCAAAACTATTACAACGATTTCGTTATTGCGAAGAAATTTGACTTGAAGTCGGTCACCGTTACATAAATTTGATGGTTTGAGAATTCTAAGGAAAATTATTGGGGCACTTATTTTTAACTTGAGGAAATGTGGGGGAAGGCCACTCGAGTTTAAAGAATTAAGAAACTCCTGTGTGTAATGGATCGCAGCTTCTTGATTCATTACATTATCAATAGATGTATAGGTAACTATATCTCCCGGACGTTTAGTTAAAATTAGGTCATTAATGGAACACTACTGTTTCTCGCCACCAATATTGTCCTTTGACACATCCGATAATCTTTATTTTCTATTTCGACGATATCAGGGTAAACTTTCGATATTAAATCCTCAATGCTATTCACTCTTTCTCCTAAATCGCGATCAATTTCAATTTTATTTTTAAAATGAGTTACTTACCCGACTCCTATTAAAGCAACTTTGAAGGAAAATTTCTACTACCTACGAAGCGGCTACGTAATAGTCGCAGCCGGCTTTGCAGTAGCAGTCTGTCGAGAAAGCTGAGTTCTTTTTATAGGCATTATAGTGACGAAAAAGATAAAAGAAAGAACCAAACCTTTTAATATTAAAAAGTATAAAAGTAAATATATATATATATATACATAATAATACTGGTGGATAATAATGCTTACTTGCGGGTAGTAAAATAAACTTATCATAATATTATATATATATATATATCGAAAAACTACATTACGGCTTCTTCGAGTGCGTTTAGGGTTCATGTGTTATCATTACGTATATATTTAATGATAGTTTAAGATAAATGCTGAGAAGAGGAGAAAGGAATTTATTTGGACCAATTATTATTGTATTAGTTAATATAAAGGGAAATATACCATAAATGTATATATTATATTTATATAACTATAAATTAATCTCAGGTGTATGTGGGGTTTTGTTTAGAATCAGAATATTAAATTTAAACTGTTATAGATTTTAAGAAAAATAATCAAATAAAATACAAAGAATTCCTATTATATAAAATTAATATTTTTTTTTTTTTTTAAAGTAATGTTCTTTAAGTACATAGTAAGTATCTAGGAGACATTGGCCATGATATCGACTTATAATACTTAGGTTAAATGTAAAGAAAAACACAAAAACCTGATTAAATTACGGGGGTTTATTGTTAAACGCAAATCATGCGGTAGGTACATACACACATAAATGCGGGGTACTCTTGTCTATATATTATTTAGACGACAATATAATATATTATAATATATTATATTAATATGATTGATTTTCGTTTTATATCTGTGAGCTGTACGTATAATAATAATAATAATGTTATATCTCGCGTACGTGTATCATAGGTGCACGGGATTCACATAAACGATATTGATCTAAGCAATTATCACTGGGAATCAATGTCGGACGTATTAACCTACGACCCGAAGTCGTACCATATCGAAGATCTCGAGGGCGTTAACGACTTATATTTAAGGAGAAAACGGGGATATTTCTCGATGAAAATTCCGTTTATCGAGTCTGCTGAAGACAGTAAAAAGGAAACGGTCACCGACAGTACGATCGCGACTTCGGACGCAGACACCGATACCACGATCTCTGCTGTCAATACCAAGATAGTTGAAACTGCGTCGGATATCGGGGCGGCCTACAGGAACTTCTTTAACTCCGCCCAATCGGAAATGACGTACGTCTTGACTATCGGGCCGGATGTGAAGAGAACTATGGTGGAGGCCGCTCCGTACATGCCCCTAGTGTGCAAGGTGGCCATGTACGTCATACCTAACTTGTCTCAGCGTGACCTGCTCATGTTGTCTTTGAATGTGGCGGCACTCACCACGCAAGGGATCAATAACTACTCAAGCGCTGAATGTCCAGTACGTATATATTATATTATATTTATAAGTATATTGTGCTAAATCCTATTATTATATTATGCATATTTCGCAGTAATTACCAATCTTTTTTTACTCGACACCATGTATTAGATTTTCAAAAATCTAATAACACCTATCAATTAAAAAATATAATAAAACCGATATTGAATTTTTTATAGTTGTACGGTCTAATGGTTGTAGGTACCCGAAATTATGTAAGACGTAAATAGTTTTATTTGCATACATCGGTATTTAAATTGGTCTACTGTCTATTAACTATGAGTTTTTATACTTTAACAATTTTTTATGTAAACAAATACAATAATTATATTATTACATAATATTGTATGCCGAAATCGATACATTTTTAAAAACTAAATTAAATTTGTTATTTTATAAAAACGTAACGTCGCAGTTAGACATTTCACAACGGTATAAAGTCATGTAGTCATATTCTATAAAAGTATACGTGCAGTGTTATGGACGTATTCACAACCGAATCGCTCGCAAATAAATTAATGCGTATTTCAATAATTCACTATACTTTTAATTTATCAATCAGTTACACAGAAACTTTAAAAGGTTTACAGACTTAAAATAAAGTAAAATATGGAGTTCTGCGGGATGCTCGGACAGTACAACACTAATTAATCTACTAACAGCGAAACACGGTAGGGGCTCGCTCGACCCGAAAACTGTCCACACAGCGAATTCTTTCAGATCGTGAAACCGTGTCACTCTCTCTACCTGTTAACAGTAATAAAATACTTACCACATTATATTTAACAATATCTACATACAGAGTGTTAATAACATATGACAGAAATACCGCCATCAAAATTAAAAAATGCCCACTATGGGAGACACTGCCTTATAGGATAAAACTTATTTCTCTTAAAACAAATTATTTAATTATCATGAACACTTGTACGAGTATTAAAAGTAAAATTTTCACGATAGTCGTAGTCAATATCAATAAATTTAATTTTTAAAATATTCTTCCCATTTGACTGACATTTGACGAAGTTCCACTATTGCTAATTCCTGTGTAGGTATACTGTTTATAAATTCTATGTTTTTGAATTTTGATAATTTTTTTTCTTTTTAATTTTTATTACACAATAAAATAAATGTCAATTTTTTCAAGTATCTCTAGAAATTCCTGGCTTGTTTTACAAAAATAATAATATTGTGTTCACTTTTAGACCAAATCCAATGTTGGTGCTACTATTGCTCATTATGCGACTGGAATTTACAACAAGTTGAAAGGTGCCTTTGAATCACATTTTGGAGACTCTTCGGATAATTCTGCAGTTGAAGAAAAAACTAAATCATCGGAAGAAACGCATAGTATATTCGATACAGTAAAAAAACATATAAATTATTTTGGTGGTTTTATGAGTAGCTATGACGAACCCGAAACTGAAAACAATGAAGACCAAATTGAGACGATAGTAACACATATATATAATGAAGATTCTCAAACTCCTACAACCAAGACAATCTTAACAAAAGCGTATGAAAACGGCGTTGATTTAATTCATCAAGCAACAAGTGACGAAGCAGATCATGTCCTATTATCTAATCAAATATTACAAATTGGAGAAAATAATGTTGATAAAATGATAAATGAGATGAAAAATGATTACAATAGCAACTCCTCGTCGAATGAAAGTGATGAATTTGACATTGACGACGAAAACGACGACGATATTGAAACTTACGATTACGATGATGATAATGAAAACATGATCGATTACGATGTCAAAGTAAACGAAGAAGATTTTAAAGAAATTATGCAAGAATCCATGTCTTTACAGGTAAGTTATTGATTCGAGTTAACAAGTATAAAGCATGTACGCTATACCCTATGAACATAACAGTATAAATTATTTTTATAATTGTTAAAAAATTTTCAATTAGTTTTCTATTGATTCAATATAAAAATAACGTATTTAAAATTCAATATTCAAATAACGTTTAAATAAAATGAGCATGTTACATATTATGTATTGTATAATGGATGATTTCATCGCATAGTTTATAGCGAACAAGTAACATAATATTATTTTAAGTACATGGTTACAGACTTCAGTTTAATAATACTTTTAAATTCTAATCGGAGCAATGAATCTTTTAATTAATCTTGGATTGTACATTTTTACAGAGATTGTCTAATCTATGTCTATACAATGGATCTTTCCATTCTGAATGACGGAAATCACTTAGTTCTCACGAAATAGTTTATTTTTTCTAGGTTCTAGCCTTAATTGTATAAATGTTTTCTTGAGAAATTTTTAAGAAATTAAACAAGAAATCATTTACTGAATAACGCATTAAATTCAATATCGCAAATAATAATATGTATATTTATTGGTTTTAGCCTGACTATGTACAAACACTTGATGGCGAAGAGTTGCTGGAAAAAATTGATGAAATTCAAACAACGCTACCAAATCCACACACCAACAATGGAAAAATATTTGAAGCATTAATAGAGGAACTGGACATTGATCAACGCTTTGATTATAGTCTAGTAAATGAATTAATCGACGATCTCAACAAAATTACGAACTTTTTTATATCTAGTGGACTTAAAAAAAATGAAGAATTAACGACTACACCTACGTCACCAATGAATTAAGTGTTGAAATCAATTGTAATTTTCAGTCGCTTTACATTTTAAATCATATAAAATACCATAAAAACTATAATAAACAAATGTTTTATTTTTAAAATCAAGCTTTAATTTAAATATTAACCACAACCATAAATTTATTTATGTATATTATATATTCATTTGCACAACATTTTAAAATATGACATTTAAGTTTATACTCGTTTTGTCCATATTGTTTTAAAACATATTATTTAAAATTAAATAAATTATAAACACAGGTATATGTCACTGAAAATAAAAAAAAATTGAAGAAATCTCTCTGCTGTATAGTAGGTATGACAGGTGTCGAGTTTCGAGTGTACCTCATCATTGAATAGGTCACAGTAATGGTTGTGTAAAATTTGAATTGAGTAATAAATCATTGGATACAAAATACGAAAAACTATTCTGAGTACTATTTAGAGTACTATCGGCCAATATTTTACTTTATATTTACAGTTATTTATTTTTCTATTTAACTACCATATTGTTTAGACCAATAATTGTCGCCGAAACAAATCGTATTTATTATAAAAATATTAAGTACTATAGATGTTATTAACTTGTAAGTTAATACCGACTGGTGTGAATTCATTTATGTTATAAATAGCTAAAATTAATCTAAATATTTTTAAAATTTGATTATACTCAGTAAATAATAATACATAATATACGGTGGCGTAAGTCCCTATTTTATATTTTTTATCACAGCTTATAGTTAATTAATAAAATTATTATTTTTATTTTTTTGTAATATTCAATTTTGTCAAAATTTGAACTTTTAACAGCTACAAAAGAAAATTATTACAATGTGTCTTGAGTATTTTTTTTAATCGCTGTATGTGCAATTTATGATGACTCTTGTATTTAATTTTCAAACTTTATATCAGAACATGCTCGAATTATGCATAAAATATTTTATTTACATATAAAGAAAAAAACGGTGATAATTTTAAATGCCAACAAATATCTTAAACTTTATCTAAATATTTTAAGAACCTTATACTTTATAATGTACAAAAAAAAAAAAAAAAGATTAGGTTAAAGTAAAATATTTTAAATTTATGTGATTAATATTTAATGAATAATAACAGGAAAACAAAACTGGATAAATGACATAGCGTTATAAGTTATAAGGTATACGTTTGAATATTCAATGTCGTTAAAATTTGTAAAATTGTATAAATGTAAAATAATTGAACAAATGAATGACGACATACCTATAGGTTATAGAACAGTGTAAAACTAAAGAGACGTGTTGCTATAGTGTTACATTTATATTATTTGTACAAACGAATAATATCGAAACAACAAAAATCAACGTGTGTATCATAATATGTTGGACATATTATGATATAATTTTGATTTGTTTAAAAATTTTATATTCATTGGTAATTTTTTGTTTATTATTACTTGACTTTGATTGAGATATAATTATTTAACAATATATTTATGAATTTATGTACGTACCTAATATTTAACACAGATTATTCAATTTTGTGATAATAATTAACAACATTCAAAACGCATAGAATATGTAAACATAAATTCAATATAATATGTATATATATATTGTTTTTTGATTTGGACCGCATTTGATCTAATTATCTAATTATTAAAATTAACTAGAATTGCATAAAAATAAGACGTATTCAAATTTTTACAAAATTAGATATTCGTCTGTATAACTATTTCTTCTCAAATAATTTTTGTTTATTATTATCATTTAAAAATAAATAACCGTAGATATTTAAAATGTTCACCAAATTTTTATATTTCAATTTTCTATACTTATATAATAATATACGTACATGAATTTTTAAATACGATCGAAATATCATGTAATCGAATCGTTTTATAGTCGAAAAATGAATGGTCGAATATTTTATTAATATGGTCGAAATCTTTTGTGGCCGAATGGGTTTTTTGGTCGAAGTAAAGTTAATCATTAGATTCCAGACTACTTTATCTAATATTTTTGTAGATGTAGGCTTATTGTAGTTGGTACTTAACAGTGTTTATCGACGATTCAGTATCGGTCCTAGTCATTTGGTTCAATACTTATTACCTATACGTATAGTGTTTTTTTTTTTTTTTATATATATAATAGTTAAAATAACATTTTTATATTTTAATATGAGTATTGATATTGTTCCTAGCATCCATGAAGAAATATTATTATATATAAATAATTTCATATACAAAAAAAACAAAGATATGGTACGTAAAACTAACAGAAAATACATATTTTATGGGATTTGTATTAATTAGTGTGGTGCAAAAATTCGAACTTTTGGAACAAATGAAAAAAACATGAACTAAATAAAAATTCAATGTTTTTTTCCGGATCAACACTGTCATTCTCCCGAACTGTATGTTATTCACGATTACGAATCAATGAAACTCAGAACCGATGAAGTTTTTGTACCATTAGTATCTGCTTTAATGGACGGTAAAAACGAAGAGCTATGTGATCAAGTATTTGATTTATTAAATGAATTTTGTGTTGAAAAAAATATCAATATTAAACAAAGTAATGATTTGGAAATAATAACAGATTTTGAAAGAGCAGCCATAAATTCTTTAAGTGAAAAATTTCCATTAGTAACCCATTCGACATGTTTTTTTTCATTTATATCAGATTATTTATAGAAAAATTTAAAATATTCATCTATTAACGAAATATACTAATGGTATTGAGTTCAATCTTTTAGCAAGATATTACCCACAATGACATTTTTACCAGTTGATAGAGTTGTATTTTATTTTATTATATTATATTTCTATATTACCTTATATACGTATTCCCTAGGTTCAAGAAGGCCAGGCCATATTTTCGACCAAACCACCTCTACCCATTTGATGAGAAATTTTCAATTTTTATATTATACGTAAGGTATGAACATTAAACATTAAACACAATTTTCCTCATAAATAATTTATGCAAAAATTAAAAAAAAAACTTAAGTATATACTACCACACTTATTTTTTTATAGTTATTTGAAGTTTAAATTTAGATTAAATTAAATATTTTAATAATAATAAACTGTATTCATTATTTTATTATTATTCAGAAAAGTTATTCGTGAGAACTTGAAAGTTTTACGTATGTTATGAATATTATTATATAAAATTATATTTATAAAATATGTAGACTTACTGTATGATATCAATGATATCATCTTGTATACTATAATTAATAAATCTATTCATAGGTAGTAGGTACTATTCTAAAGTTAGATAATGATGGTATTGAATCAACAATATTAAATGACAAATATTATTTAATAAATACAATGTCTTTGGTGAAAATTAAATTAACCTATTGTAGTATTATTGTTACGGACCCTGTAATAACATCGAATATTTCATTATAATACTTATATTAACGTATCTGTAATAATATTGATTATTTATAATAGATGTATTCACGCGACGAGGTGACACATGATTCGTGAAAAGAATGACACGGACAATGAGAAGCCTGGACGGATGGTGTGTGCATTGTAATATTTAATTAAGCAATTTAGATACAACTATACGACGCGAACTTCTCAGAAAACAACGCAACAGTGAGAAGCCGAGGGCTATCACTTATCAAAATACAAATCACGGAGGGAGGGTGCACGTGTCATCGTAACTCGTAAGTCACCACCTTCGCCGCCGACTCTCGTTGTATGAAGACCATTTATAAAGGCAACGCATGAGCCAGAGCTCACCAGACGATTAGGGATATCCAACTATCCAAGACGCTTAGAGGCAGGTCGTAACATCACTCACACTCTCGTCTTGGCAATAATTTCAGAGTCAGGTCATAACACCGCTCACCAAATATCTTGTACTTACAATAGCGTATTCTTATATCTAAGTAGGTATAAATTAAATAAAGATTTATTATATCATTATTCTCATTTCCGCGTGGATATATGAATCGGCGTTGTTCAACGGGACGCAACATTATAATAGTAAAATAAATGACTGTAATAGCTTTATTAAAAAAAAAAAAAAAAAAAAAAAAACATTTTGTGAAATATACTTAGTTATATAAAATTACTGACCATTTCGACTTAGAATCGTATACAATGATACTTCATTGAATTAAATGTTAACACATCTAACCAGTGACCCATTTAACACCTAATGCACTGCAATGAGGTAACCACACTTGACTACAAGTCATAATAAATACACATTTTTTTTTTTAGTAAAACTAAGTCTTTTAAATTGTATATATTAAAAAAATATTGTAGGTAACAGTTACATGTTAAATATTTAAATACGTAATTATAGACTTTTAATCGAGTATCAACATATTGAAAACTGGAAATTATTAATATCATTGTGTAGTAAGAAACGAAAACAATTCAAATCACCATTGATACCTTATACGGTACAAAATTTGAGTTCTGCAGTAAAAAATTTAACATTCTTTATAGTATTTTTTGAAAAGCTGCTGACAAAACTATGCCATTGCGCCGTCTGTCTATTCCGCTCTTCATTTTTCCTCGATATTTTCCGTATTTGGGGGTAAATTATCCGGGTCTGGTTCTGAACCATCCGACGTCCCGTCACCCCCGTCGCCGCCGCCGCCGCCACCGCCGCCACCGCCATCATCGTCGTCATTGGACTTTTTTTTTCCCGATCTATTTTTGGGCCTTTTGAAGCTCCCCGATGGGCCCGATGACAACCCGCGATTATTATTTCCAACAATATTTTCTAAACCGTACTTTATTTTATACGAATTCCTCGGGTAAGTATTCAAGATGTGTTTCATCGTTTCGTAGTGGTAGCCCTCCGGTGGCCGCCGCAACACGCCGTGACTCAGCATGGAATTCGGGTACCGTCTCGAGAGAGCGAGTCTCTGACTAACCGATAATTGTCCGGTCACCTACAAATTACAAAACGCTCTAAAGTTTAAAAATAATATGTACATTTAGTCTTTTACACTGCATCGCATATACAGTTTGGTTTGAGAATTTGAGATATTATATACAATTTGTACAGCTTAATAAAGCGTTTCGTTATTTTTATATTGACGAATTGAATCACGAGACGATGCAGTGTTAAAACCTGGACTTCTGTAAGTATAATAATATTTAATAAACCGTTTGGTTGAATATGAAACTATAATAGGTACGTTTAAAGGAAATTGCGATTTTTCAATATATTTTTAAACGTTTTGTTCAATATTGTGTTGTCTGTGACATAATAATAAAATAATTTACCGTTTTGAAATAATTTAAAAACTGTATTATGGTTTAAAGATAAATTAAAGGGTTATATTATGAAACCAAATATTTTTTTATGTATATTTGTATACATGTAAAGAAGAAAATAATTATTGTAATACTAAGAAAATATTTTACTTACGATTTGGAATGTAGTCAAACAGATACACATTGTAATTAGTTGTTGACAATTCATCACAATGCATGATAATAATTGTTTATTTTAAACATACTTAAATTATAAATTAAATAATATATAAATCATTCGTTCGAAAAACGATTAATAAATGCGCTTCAAATCAAAATGATTAAATACCATATATACGTTGAACATATTATGATACACACGTTATGACTTACGTTGTTTCGATAATATTATTCATTTGTGCAAATAACACTAATGTAACACGATTGCAAACATGTCTTTTTGATTTTTCACTAAATAATGGGTACCATCTGTCTATTGTTTAATTATTATCGTATTATACATAAATATACACATACACTACTTACAAGTTATAATAGGTTTATAATATTTCACTATTTTGTATATTTCTGTAAATTATCTGATCATTGTGGTCTAGTTGTAACTTAGACAATCTCATTTTTACAGTGCTGGACTTATTATTCGAATTAAAAAACAGATATAGATTTAAACAATAGTCTAACTCTAATTCAATTTCATGATCAAATAAATGAGGATAATTACAATGTCATAAATTCTAAAATAAGTTCCACTATATTGTACTGTGCTAGAAGCTAATCAGAAAAAAAAGTGATAAATATACTTAAATTAAAATTGTTATTTTATAATCTAAAAATATTAATATAGGTAGTATAAAAAATTGAAAACCATTGTCTGCTGACAAGGTAAAGGTGTAAAATGAATTTCACATGCCAGTTTTCGTGTCCCCGACCTTAATCGCCATTAGAAAACTACCTATTGTAACGTTACAAACCACCACAATCAGAAAACGGTCCTTTTTAGGACTACTAATCACAAAACAAGATATAAGAAAACGACACTTTTAAGGATATATAAGCGAGGTTTAAGCTCACCCGGCCGTAACATAGACTAGCAAAGTACGGCCATGGATAGGGGAGGTCAAAGCGAAGAGAACAACACTCTACCCATAGCCTTAAGTACAAAAGTGACCTCACAGTTACAAAATCCGCACCGACAGTAAGCACGGGCACGCACGGCGGCACACTCATAATTTACTAGTCGGTACGGATTACTGTATATATACCGGGTACTTTGGTCATTTATTCAATAAGTCCTTCTTCAATCATCGAAATTCAAACACAACACAGAAGAGCAGAAGATCAGAAGACACGATGACCAACAAGACCAGCTACCAACCCGGCCGAGGAATCGGAACAAGCAGCTCCAGCACCAGCGCCGACACTCAACATACCGGGAAAACCGAGCCGAAGGACCCGAAGCCCCATCAATGGTTCTCGATCCATGGAGAACGATCGGCCGAGAAAGTACCAGGGACACGGATACAACGGATAACCACAGTTGGTGGCGGAATGGTACGAGACGATTGCCGGACGTCTTATAAATTATAATAATACGCATAGGCGCACATAGGGGGGGTGCTTAGCACCCCCAGTTTCCTGTAAAATTTATTTCAGTATTTTATCAATCATTTGAAAATTATTGTGATTCATTGGGTTGGAATTTTTTTCCATTACAAATAGACAATATGTAGCTTATGAATTCACGATTAATAATATATTGACTGTATTATATGAATGCACGTTCCACTGTTCCAGTTTTCGTCTAAACGTTGAACATTAACAGCAATCATATTATAAAAATTTGCATTTTTTAACAGAAAATTAAATCTTGTTTAAAATTAATTAGTGATTATATGTATTATTATTATTAATATTATTATTGTATATATAAATATAATATAAATACATTTTAATAGTAATTAAAATAATTAAAAATTATTAGAATGCAATTTATTATGGTATTAGGGGAGTGTGGGGGCAAAGCCCCCCACTGATCTGTTTACTGTAAATTATTCCAGTACCGGCAGTACCCCCTAAATTCACACCCAATGTGCGCCTATGATAATATGATTAGGTCAATTAGGTGAACTGAGCGCTAAAAATATCGATTCTCAACGAGTACATACACTCGATAATTATGATATACAGCAGAATGAGTTCTCCGACTTTTTACTATTAATTATCATATATATTTCGTATTGTATTGCTAACGAAACAATTAACTTTTGACCAATCTTACCATTACATTTTCTAGGGTTACGTTTACGATTTACATCGTACGTATTACGACATTTTTCATAAATTAAAAATGTCCAATGACTCGTATAAGTGCTCACACTTATTTGCCAAATGATAATTTAACCCCCCTCTCGATCACGATATTTTTAATGAGGCTACGAATTTAACACTAAACAATTAATATTTAAATTCATTTTATGAGTATTTTACATTCTTGCTAACAATATCATTCAATTTTTTCAATATCATTTTATTGAAAATTCAATGCTATATAACTCATGCACTTAAACGTTCTAAACATTAAAATTTTTTTAATACTTTTAGATCCGAATTAGTGAATAAAATTCGAAAAATAACGCAAAAAAACCGAAGGTTCCACCGAGATTTGAACTCGGATCGCTGGATTCAGAGTCCAGAGTGCTAACCATTACACCATGGAACCGTAATGAGAAGTTTGAATAATATTTAATTTTATAAACAAACGGACAATGGTTATAATTTATATTATTGTATAAAAGTTCGGATTAAGGGAGAGGGGCGAGAAGCCAAAGAAATCAAGAACCATAGCCTACAGACCACAAAATTAGAGATTTTTTTATATGATTACATAATTTTGCAACATTCATTTATTTTATAATATTTTAATAATTATTTATTAGGTATGTATTGAATACAAAAGAAAATTCTTATAGGTAATATTACTTTATTATTTTAATATATGAATCTATTTAACAAAAAAATAATTTTGTTCATAATCCACTTAATAGATATTATTTAATTTCCTTATTGAGATTTAATGTTATTATAATATTATCAATGTAATGAGAAATTGAGAAATTGAGTAATATATTTATTAGATAATACTTCTAACTACATACCTATACGTGTCATTGTGTCAATAATATAATCTATGGTATAATATGTTTTTTTTTTTTTGTAATTTTGTACCTAATTTTGTTTTTAATAATATATAATAGTATAAAAAAAACTAGCTTGAAGCCCCCCCCCCCCATTCCGGTCCATATTTCTTCTGAGTGTGGCTTCGTGCTTTACCATTTACCAATCTTAATCCTACGAGCTTCAATTATTTCTTTGGACGCTTCTCCCACACTTTTTTTAACGTAATGTTAAAAAGTAATAGAGACTAGATGGAATGCATCATCTTGTTTAAGATCAATCTTTATTCTTTGCTTCTGATAATCTGTCGACAACTATAACTTGATTTCTTATTCCGTTCATAGCGACTTCATGCACATTTATATCATTAAAATAATAGTGTAAATATATACCAGCGGTTCTTAACCTGTGGTCAGCGGCCACCTGGGGGTTCCTAATACTCATGCCGGGGGTCCGTGGCAGCCTATTAACAGTATTAACACATAACATACGTCAGTACGTGACGTATTGTAAAGGAAAGGTGTTCGAAAAAAAAATTGGTAAGGGAGTCCGTGATTTCTAAAAATCTTTGAACAGGGGTCCGTGATCTAGACAAGGTTAAGAATCGCAGCTATAATACTTTAACGTACTTCACTCATATAGCCATATATATACCTACATAACTATTTGCTGCACATTTCCTACATAATTTAACGCAATGTACTGGAAACCCAGCTACACTTGACCAAGAATTCTCAGTTTTAATGACTGGCATTCTCATTTAAATACGTAAGTTTCTCAAATTAAAATAAATGGTATTTACTTATAATATAATAGTATTATGCTACCTGGATTTTACACTTTTTTATTTATCAAACAAAAGTGATGTTAAACACAATTTTAAGATATTTATTTTAACTATAATAGAATGTAAATGTATTATCTGAAGCGTTATATTATTATTTATAAATTATAATATATATTATGTTTATTATGAACATGGTATTATTACAAAAATATGATATTGCATGAATTATAAAATAAATTAATCACTTATGTTTCTAGATAAAACTCTCCTCTATAATTTTTATTTTATATGAATAAATATTTTTATTGTAAACCTTTTTTATAAGCTGTATTACTTGAAGTACGAAACAATGTTTTTATGACATATTTTTTCCCTATAGCGTCTACTTAATATCTGTGCAATATTCGATACAAAGTATTTTAGTACATCCGCACTATCCATGGCAATGAATTGTAAATCGATCTTTTTATTTAGATTTAGATCGATTAAAGATATACTAGCATGAACACTCATAAGTAAAATTTTAAGGAGAAGGGGAACGTGGTAAATAAAAAATTTAAACTAAATATTGGTATAATGTTGTATCACCTTATAAGTGTAAAATGTATTCTATAATTGTATACTAATATCTTTATGATTAATATTTTTATTGTAGGTACTATTAGTTAATTAGAGTACAATAAAAAAAGTACAGAAAAATAATAAAAAATAAAATAGAAGCAAATGTATTATTTTGTATCAGTAAGCAAAAACTACACATTTCTTCTTATTATCGTGTCCAAGTCGTTCAGCGTTAATAATCCATGTTAATATTTATTAAAATAAAAGTTAATACTATTTTTCTAGGAAAGAAAAATGCTTCACCTCATCCCCCTTCCACCAATGGGAGCCCATGGGTACTATGTATATCGCTATTTAGTTTCTACTTTTTTATTACAATATATATTAAAATATTATATGTTTATATTCATAAATTAACTTAATTTCAATTCTAGATAACTTTACTACACTTATTAAATGTAGTTATTTATTTTCAAAATACCAACAAAAATTACTTAAGTAAAGTAAGTATAGTGTTTAGTTGAGATTTAAAATATATTTTCACTCAACCACTAATAGAAAATGAAATTTTTTTTCAATTGATATACGAATAAAAAATAAACATATACACATCGTATATTATTATATCAGTCTTAGGTTGTCATTCAAAAATATTGTATATAATATAACTACGAATTTTACGCTGTAACAAAAAGCGAATAATCTTTAAAAAAAATAAATAGCATGAAAAACGGACAGTGTAAATTAAATTGTGTGTAAAAAAAAATGCAAAATAACAGAGAAGGTCCCACCGAGATT